AAATTGTAAAGGCGGTTTAGTACACACATGTCTTTACCTGTTTATTTTCCAGCCTGACTTGATAACCAACTGACTGTCCAATCTTGTCTACTCTCTCACTGGACACTCTTTCTGCAACAGACATGGCCGAGATGCGACGAGGCTGTGTACAGATAATGAAGCATTCACCTCCACGTCCTGCGGCGAGATGGCTGTCCAGGATGAACTGAGGAATCTGAGTCGTCTTCCCACAACTTAAAAAAAAACAAAAAAACAATGAGATGATGAGTTTGAAGTCTGAAACCTAAATCCAGTAAAACTTTATCAATCGAAATATCAAAATACAGATAATAGAGAAAGATGTTCTTCCTTTTGTCACAAACTTCTGATATAGAAAAAAAATGTGAGTCCCCCTCAAGATGGAGCACCTTTGGATTTTACTGCTTGATGCATTACCATGCAACTTCCTGAGTCTGCAACTTCAGTTGCCAAAAATTTAACAAATTGCCATGCAGCTTAGAGTGGCTGTGTAGCAGCTTAACAGTTACCGCACTCCACTCCAGGAGAGGGGGTCTGGGTGCAAGATATTGCCCTTTCACTGTGTTATGTTCTTTGACAAGACACTTAACTCTCACGGTGTCTTTCTCCACCCAGGACTAGAAATGGTAAAGGTAAAGTCTGTTTATGAGCCTAGTGGCCCATTTGGCCACTGCTCAACTCCGGTTTCTGTAGCATGAAGCGACTAGGAGTATTTCTACTCCCCCTTGGATTGGATGCTAGTCCATCCCAGGGTTACCCCCAGCATTAAATTACCGGTACCCATTTAAACACATGTGTGGAGAGAGGCACTGTGAGAGTAAAGTGTCTTGCCTAAGAACACAGTACAATGTCCCCGGCCGGGGCTCAAACCAGGACCACTCGATTTGGAGTCAAGCGCACCAACCATGAGGCCACCGCACCTCCACAGGAGTAGAAATGGCTACAAGTTAACTGCCAAAGAAGGTTGATGAAATGTCTGCAGGTAACCTGCCATGGACCAGCATTACATCAGGGGAGGAGACTAGTATTCACTTTATTTTCACAATACCTCCTTCCACCCAGGAGTAATTTAATTTAATTTAATTTAATAGCTTCACCAACCCACCCATCCCTAGGGAGGACATCCATCACACAGTAATCTCGTGTGTGGGAAATTAACGTCTCCTGCCCCAACCCTGCAGGAGACGGGACCTACATTTATTCGTCCCTATCCGAGAAGACTAGAATATCTAACCATTTCTTGATGTGATAGAAAGGTAGCAAATTCTTCTCAATTATTTTAAGACCTTGAGTGTTGGTCACGGGTAACGGTTAAAATTTGTCATTATTTTGTCATTACTCCATAGCTCAGGAGTAGGGCCTCATAACGTAGAATCTGAAGATATTAAACGCCCATTTCTCATGAGGAAAGTTTTTTTTTCTTTTTTTGAGTCTTGAAATAGGAGGAAAAATATATTTCAGTCTGTAAATTTACCGAATATCTGTCTACTTTGCGTAGATCGAAATGTAAGATATGACACGTAATTACCTAAAGAGCGAGCTAGCATGATAATGCAATTATTTACCCTTCAATCTATCTTTTTTTCAGGGGCACTGCTTCGGAGGGGGTGGCTATTTTGGTGTTGGTTCACCACAGTTCTTTTATGCTGATTTTAATGCATTAACACTTGGAAAAATAATTCGTCTCTTGGGATTCACTTTTGCACTTCCTCCTCCGATAGCACAGACTGGCTTCCCGGAGGGTGCATCGGTATGTGTGGATTAAAAACACACCTTCAATCATCTCATTGTCTATTCCTTTCTTTACTTTTCATCGATTGTTCGAGGAGACTCGTGTCTTTTCGGATTTGTGCCTCTAAAATCAACGCAAAGAAATTTTGACATTGTAACGAAACGAATTGAGTCAATGATGCATTTACAAAGAAGCACGCGCTTCCAATGCCGTCTGGTGTCTTACACTAGCATATTGCTGGTAGATTTTTCAAATAATAGGATAGTAGAGAAACTAACAAACCAATTAATACGTGAATTAAATCTGCAGTTGTGTCATCATGAACATTTGAAGCTCGTAGGAATGAAGTCAATAAGAGCTATTGGCTGAGGACACGATGAGAACATAAAAGTTTAGCTGTAGGGTTAGGACAAGGATTAGTTCGCAAGCAGTTCAAATGAAGTTACTACAATGTAAATAAATGCCGTTTGTTCACTGCAGGGATCTTATGCCGAGGAAGCGTTCGACCTGAGAATCGCCAATGGTCCCTTCATTCCTGAGGGCCTAGCCATCAAAGGCCGCGTTAATACTTTTGGATGGTCAGTTTACGCGAATATCAAGCTATCAGAATCGGTAAACGCTCACTTTCTTGCTCTTTGTTCCGATGAAAAGAATCAAAGCTGCACATTTACTTAAGCAGTCGCTATCAGTAGAAGGAGTCATTTAGAACAAGTTCATAATGAAGTTTTGAAAACATGATTTGCTCATTGGCTTTGTTATTGTGCCTTTTTCGTTTGAATTACATTTCTGCGACGGCTGGCTTATGACGGAAAGGTAAGAGATAAGCCAGCATGTATTTAATTTTACTTTTGATAAATAGATGCTGTGGCAGAAATACATTCTCGAGCGTCAGTTTGTATCTCGACCTTTCTAGCTGAGGAAATTCATCTGTCATTGATGCAATATTTTTATGACTATTCTAGAATGTATTTAGTTCTTATTAACCGAGCGGGAGGTCTGTAAGGGAGAATCTTGACCGAGGTCGCCAGTACAGACCGAACGCATGGGTGTGTCTTATATGCCAATTTTTTATATTCTTTGTACCTTTTTTTTCTAGATTGGGCTAGATGCCGGTCTAGATGCCGGTCTAGATGGGAAAATCTAGACCGCTTTTAATATTGATTTCAGCCAATCAAATTCGTGAATTCGGTAGTTCCCAGTCCTTGTGAGACACAGCCATATAACAATTTATGACTTAATGCTAAAAGTAGTGATATTTTGCCCAAGGCATTTCTTTCTAACTGTGTTGGAGTGACTTTTTCCAGGCGATCTTTATCGATTTTAAACCAGACCCAATAACAATCTTGGACATTGTGACAATCGTCCGCAGTCCCACGGATCGGGAAAACGGACCATGGTGGTATCTGGACGCAAGAAAAAGTCCACCCTTCATCGAGGTAAGCTGTGTACAGCTTTTAACATCGGAGAGTGACTAATAGAATTCCCTGTCATATTTTAAATGGTCTGATTCATTTAGCCCTACTAGAAACATAATGGTGGTAAACGGTTTTTAAGGAAAAAATATATGTTTAACAAATGTCGTATCGAAATACATAGGTTTCATCTGAATCACTTCTGATAACTTTAATAGCGACGTACGAGAAATGCATAACTTATTAATTTCATGAACTAGAATGGATTGCTTCATAACTCATTCCTGATTAAATTACTTTGGCCGAGAAAGGAGAACCCAACCAGAATTTATAAAGCTTGTGATGGCTAGTGCATAAACGATGTCTGGAAAGCCCTCGCTGAACCTCGTTATCAACATGATTGCATAAATTTTTCGTCTTAATTTCTGAAATTACAATAAGAGTGAAGGTGGGGGTAACCTCCACAACTTTTTGCATCGTCTAATATTTTTTTTCTTCCATAGGCCTATATTGAGGGATATACAAACATATTGGGAATTTCAACATACTGTCGGCTAAACCTGACTATCACACGCATAGAGATGTTAGTCCAAGGAAATTTCCTCGAACTCATCAAAGCTGAACTCTTTATGACTGCAAGCTACAGTTTGACTTCGCTGGGAACGCAGTTCTACATCAAAATTAATGTGGACCTACACGGAATCAATAATGTAAGGAAATCTAACGAAAAGTATATTGACGCCCGATAAAAGCTGCCGCTGAAAAGGCTTAAGAGAGAATGTGCAAGTGATTTTTCCCTTTTTTGACCTCGAAATACATCAATGCGATATAGATAAAATGGAGAAATCAAAAAGGGCCTATACGAGTAGCAGTGCACACATTCTATGGGGATTCATCTGAAAATGTGTACAAGTGCGAGAAGGGAAAAAGGGAACGAAAAATTAGTTGTCATTCCTCAAAGTGCTAACATATTAGAGAGAAACAGGCATTTACAAATGTTCTGGTCTACCTTGATCAGTAGAAGTTTCTTTTCTCGACTTTTCAAGTTGAACAAAACCTCTTAATACTTTTTTAGACGAAGGGAAAAAGGGATCTCGTGGGATCTCGTTCTATGTAAGAACGCAAAGACTTTTCCGAGCCGAAATATATTCAGTTTATCATGGCATGCCGTGAATCAATATTTTACAGGCTTTAGACGCAGCAGCGAGGGCTGTCAGAGGCGCATTTGATGCTGCCCAGAAGGCGCTTGCTGATGCAAGAGCAAAAGTGGTAAGAGAAAAAGAAAACTGCCGAAGAAAGCTGACACTCGAGTGTGATAACTGTAAGAGGCTCAAGTGTGATAAAGCTCGAAAGGATTGTAAAGGATTTTTGAACGCAGCTGGCAAATGGATTGGTGGTGTAGTCGATAAGGCTGGTAAGATTCAATAATACTGAAAACATTAAATAAGTGAAAATCACGAGATAAACTGGGTGCAGACCCTCCGGAGTAGGGGGAAAGGGACTGAGGGGGGGGGAAGTAAGTGGGAGACGTGGATGGCGGAAGGAGCGGGAGAGCTTGGCAGGACGCTTCTTTCTCCTAGCGCTGTATATTATACAAAGACATGTTTTGACACAAAAAAAGAGCTAAAAATTTTTTCACTTGAAGATCTAAACATCCTGCAAGTCTCAATGAAAAATGTTGACATTGAGATATATTTTCTTGGATTTTTGTAATTTATCTTGGCAAATACTCTATCGTTAGTTGATTACACATTCTTGGGCATGACGTTTGATAATGTTATTGTAACACTAACTGCAATCCAGTCATGCCAAACTCAGGGAGGTATTGCTGAATCTGAGTATTTCCTGTAAGATAACTTTCACTAACTATGGGGGAGTTTGCATTATTTGACAAATTATAACGTTCATTTTTTTTCTCTTAGGAAAATGGATCAGAGGAGCCTTCAAAGAAGTAGGAAAGAAGCTAGCTCCGGTAAGGAACGTGATGCCTGTTTAATGTCCATTGTCAGATGGTTAAATTAACCTTCGTCAGATATTTATCCCCATTTATGAAAAGTGAACTGTCTGAAGAAATTTCTCAGAGGGTCTGATTAGTCTGTTTCTGAAAACAAGCAATTAAACTTGAAGCAATACCCGTCGTTTCTTCAGTCTATCAAAACAGATTTAAACATGGTTGATGAACATGAGAATTAGACTAAGATAATTTATTGCACGCTTTGCAAAGTAAAAAGGCCTATAACGATGACTTTCTATCGCTATCAGGTCGGCAAAGCCATTAAGAAATTTTTCAAAGGCTGGAAAAGAAGAAGGGAGATACTGGACAAACGCAATGAGAATTTCGAACTCCATCTTCGACGACGTCGATTTATCAGCAAAATTATTTGCGAGGGCGTTGTAGGAGGGGGATGTAACGGTAAGTTTGAAAACGTTTTGTGATATTAACTCGAGAAACTAGAGTCGCTCTCGGCTATCGCCTCGCGCGATTCACACGCCTCTTTCGTGCTTAGCAAACCTCCAAAGCGCATCCATAACTCAATAGTGTACGCTGGGGTGTTAACCATGTGTTTTATAACATAACATTGTTACATTGTTGCAAAAGAGTTCCCTTTTAATTAACACTGAAATATTACGTGACCAGAGAAAGTGTACACCCACAGGCAAATGGTGGACACTGAATTGAACAATCAAAGCGCGCGCTTTACTCTGGTTATGTTAGGATGCGTTTTTGTTTACATGGGTAGTTAAACGATCTCTCAGGCGATTGCAAATACCCATATTACAAGGCGAGTCCAATTTGTAGACTTTAATAAATTCATGAGTGTTTTTCCTATTTCAAATCGCTCGAGAAATAATTTGATTATTTGCTGTTGATAACACGTCTCAAACACATCAGTGAGCGTCAGGCAATAAGCTTATTTTTGTTTTTACATGTACATCATTGATCGTAGAGAGGTACAGGGTGTATGGAGCACCCCGTATTACATTATTGGTAACACTTTGACTTTCTCTTCTGCGTTACATACTCTTAGAACTTAAAGCAGCCATTCTCATCCTTATGGGAATACTATACATGACATAAGTAACATTTTTTTTCATTGATTCATAACGAAAGGTTCACTGAACGATGGCATTTTGGTCTTCGCAACGAAAATATTTCTGCAAGCCAATGGCAATCGATCAATTGGAGTGATGCTATCTACCTACACCACCCGTAGTTTTGTTGTTGTTTTCATTGTGAAATACTTTTTTAATGATTCACAAAGCAATCGTGGAAATCATGTCTTTGCTTACAGGTTGTTATTAATCGATGTATTCTTTGGTTTTCAGCTGTGTCCAGCCTTTGCGAGGGATCGTGTAAAGTTGTTAACCATATTGGTCAAGGGCTGTGTAACGTTTTGGATTTAGCCATTGGAGCTTTGACGATAACTGAACGGGCAACAGCTTGGGTTGGAAGAGCTGTTGACTTCGTCTTGACTCAGCTGTTTAGAGTATACAGGTAAAATATCTGTTTAACTTTGATATTATACACTTAATCTAGGGTCCCGAGGGAAACGGTTAGTTTTGTTTTCCTCGTCTCGGGAAACATCAGGACCCGGGGAAAAACAAAGCTAACTAGTTTCCCGAGCGACCATACATTAAGTGCGTTGTTATGAACGGTAGATTTTACCTTAAACACTAATATGGCAAAAACATGTTATTTTACCCGGTGCGTGGGCAACAACTGCGCAATTGTATCCGGGTCGGGGTACACCTCAATTTGATCAGGGGCACGTAACCAAGAATCAACCAATCACAGTGCTCGTTTTGTTGAGTGAAAGTCTAGGTATATAACAAACCTTTTTAACCTCATAACAATCGTAAAACATTACTAAAAAAGTCGAGGCCATTGTCACATAAGTATTTGGTAAAATTGACTTCCTTGATAACTGAATAAGAGTGACCTGACTAGGTAAAAGTGTAAAACGATATCTTTTTTTTTTGATAAAGAATATTGGCTACCGCAAAGTTAGATTTGAAAGTGTAGTGCGATCGTCCGCGTCATTGTAGTCCGGAGAGGGACTGTTGTCGTTGGTGGTGATTGACATTTCGGCCTCCTTTGCGGAAGTCATCGCTAAAGTCAAGTGAAAGTTTGTTGTCAGTCGAATGACAATGTATTAATTACCCTTTTTCTGAGTCCTGATTTTTATTCAGTTGTTTTCTCCATATAGTATCAAATTTGAGTTTAGCCTTGAAGCGTACGCAAGAGACAGGGACAGGAACAACGTCATATTCAATGCAGCTATTGACTTGCTGATCTTTGGAAAACGCTACTATCTTGCCACCGCTTTCAACTTGAGAGATCCAGTCGGAAGCCTAAGAAGTGGATCCGACAAAGCAACGGAATGGTACAAGAGCAATATGAATAACGAACAAGCAACCGCACCAAAGTCGAACTTTTACGACAGTCCAAATCCATATGCTGACTTTGAAATGTCAGGTAAAAAACACAAATTAAAAAGAAATAGTAGCATTCTTAGTCGGGGAAGTAGAGCTTTTTCTACCACCCTAATTCGTATACCGACTCGGAAATGTCAGGTAAAAAAAAACAATAGAAAGGAAGAGATGTGAACTACAGCCAGAAGTTGAGTTTCCTCTTTCCCACTCTCTGAATTATAGAAACGTCTGTGGCATGAAGAAAATCTAAGAGCTTTCCAAACGATCGGTTCAAGTTAAACGGCGTTTAAAAGGAGCGGTTATTTTTTGTTTTCTGCTTTCAGAAACATTCTTAATCGAGAATCAGCAAGCGGCAACAGATAGCAGAACTGGTGCCTGTTTGTATGTCGATTCTAAATCCGAAGCTGATATTAAAGTTACGGGCTGCAATGAAACTGATGACAGACAGAATTGGGCTTACACTCTTAAAGGACAAATTGAGGTTGGTATATGGCGCCGCATACCTTATCGGTAGATACTAAATTAATTAAATCCAACCTTTGCTTGTAAAGAATTATAGTTCTGCTTTGCTGTCCTTGCTTATTTGATTTAATGATTAAGTCGCTTTCAGTGTGATTTTAAAACTCGCATTGGCGAAGTTTTTGGCCCCTGATTTAAAAGAAGGGATCGGATCGCATCGGAGTGAAGTTTTAATACGTACATGTAAAATCTTTGGGCTTCACCTAGTAACTGCATAGTCTGAACACGTGCCATGTGTTCAGACTTCAAAATCTATATAGGGACACATCAGAAAAATGGATGCAGTTTGATAGCTATCCACTCTGTCCGGGCAGGTTTGATTTTATCGGAATCTTCCTCTCGAACTTTGTTAACTGATCCGATCTAAGCAGCTACCATTATTTCCAGACTTATGGTGACTGCCCATGTAATATGCACCCAAAATACCTTTAATTTACCTGAGAAAAAGATCACCCCTCAGTCGCTATTTACAACTAAGCTACAAGTCTATTTCAAGACACAGGAGAAACTCAAACGTGAAAATTAGGAAAATTACTGAACAAGATCGTTTCTTAAGTTCTATTTCATCAAATTTGTAGAACTACTGGTCTAAGTTGTGCATTGACTCAAATGGCGCTACCGCTGGTACCAAACTGAGACAAACCACATGTAATCCTGTGCACGACAATCAAAACTTCCAGTGTGACTTGACTGTGAGAACTCTAATGAGAAGACGAAGCGATAAATGTTGGACGCTAGGTGAGTTAAGAAAAACGTTTAAGCTCCGCTCCAAAAAAAAAAAACATACATCCAAAAATCTTGCATTCAAGGAAGTGCTTCAAAATCTCAACAGCAACTTTTGACCAAATATGAACAAAGCCCATTTTACACATAAATTTCACACGGAGCACGTGATCAAAAGGTTGAAAAAAAAAAACCTTTAAGAAGTCATATATTGCAGTTCATATTAAATATTGTAATTATAATCTATTGTAATTAAATTTGACATTTCTGAGTTTGAACCACAATATCAACGAAGGAGAAAGCTGGTCAGACCTATGTCAAGTTGGCGAAAAAATGTGACAATTAGCAAACAATTGGTTATATCAACTAAGTTGAAATAGTAAATTGGCCACCGTAACGAATAAAAAAGCTGACGTTTCGAGCGTTAGCCCTTCGTCAGAGCGAATGGAGGAATTCTGGGTTGTATGTGGTTTTATATGCAGAAAGCGCAGCTACGCCATTGGTGGGAACAYGGCAACGAGAAAAACACGAATAAAATAGTGGAATGAAAAGCCTTCGTTGATACCTGTGGGATTAAGAGTGCCGATGTGAAAGATTAACTTTTGTTGAAGAGTTTTGCGGTTTTCCGTGTTGCCTAAATGTAAGGAAAGACCGCAGATAGTCATATGTTGTTTAGAATGATTAGGTAAATTAAAGTGTCTAGCGACTGGTTTAGATGCGTCCTTGTCATTCCTTTCCACGACGCGAACGCTTTTCATTCCACTAATTTATTCGTGTTTTTCTCGTTGCCATGTTCCTACCAATGGCGTAGCTCCGCTTTCTGCATATAAAATCACATACAACCCACAATTCCTCCATTCGCTCTGACGAAGGGCTAACGCTCGAAACGTCAGCTTTTTTATTCGTTGCGGTGGCCAATTTACCATTTCAACTTAGTTGATATAACCAATTAGCTTGTTACCCCCACCGACTCAGCACTACAGTTTCTTTAGAAACTTTCAGCCTTTATCAATTAGCACACAGCCACAAAAACTTTGATTTTAAGCAGTGATGTGTTTCCCACCTAGGTACATCAACAATCAATGGCCCAGGCCCTCTGGTTCACCGCGGTTCCTTAAAATGCATTCATGTGCAGAATGGAGGTTTTAATGCAGTACCGGATGGCACTCGATTAGTTATTTACGCGGGATGTTACATTTCAAGGTAAGATAAACGGATTTACTAGTTTCATAAATACATTAAACCAGAAACATGGAGAGACACGGTGGAGTGTTCTGGAGGTAAACGCAGTCGAACCGCATTGAAAGGGCCGGATCGAGTCCTGCAAACTTCATCGATTGCCAGAGGAGCGCGCATGCGCATTAAGCCTGAAGAGGAGTCGCTGTATGCAATTGAAACGTTGCGATCCACATCGGAAGTAACTGCATCGTAGAATGAACAATTCTACTTTATGTCGAGTGTATTCACAAAGACCAATATCTTAAACCTTTTGATAAACGTAACTAATTATCGTTTTCATTGAAATGACCTCGAATACAAAGGAAACCCTGGTTTTTTAATTCGGTTCTTGCGATAACACGCCTAGAATGGAATAAAAGAATAAAAGAGAGATTGAAAGCAAAATTTTAAAAATGACTGTGACCCTTTTTCTCTTTCCTTAAGTCTCTATACCTTTACACTAAATTTACATATTTTACTCGACCTCGCTGCCAGTTTTGGGTTTGAATCTGACTCAGGTAGAGTTAGAAAGTGTACAAGACGTTAAAGTGAAGACTGAGACGTCTGCTGAATATGTTCAAACGATTTTAAAAGCTGTCTTTTCTGTTGAACAGCGGAAGTTCTGCAAATAGATTGGAATTCGCCCTGGAAGATGGCTATTTTAAGCACATCAGGAGTGGTAAGTGTGCAAAGCCAATTGGAGCAGTCACTGAGGGAGTTACTCTTGGAATGTACTCGTCTTGCGATGGACACAAGTTTAGTTTCACTGCTGGAGGCTCATTACAGCACATTGCAAGCAGAAAATGTGTCAACCCCAGATCAGGGGTGAGTACGGAAAATGCAAGAAAAATTTAGATCGTTATTTGCGCGTAGGTACACTCTGCTGAAAATACCCGCCCTTATATATATAGTAAGCCTTATACATATTGTAAGCAGAAAATGTGTCAACCCTAGAACATGACTGAGTATGGAAAATGCAACAAAAATTTAGATCATTATTTGCACATAGGTACATTTTGTTGAAAATACCGCCCTTAATACACGAAGCGACGAGGGAAGACTTTCACTAACGTGTCGAATTCCCTGTTGACATTTCCCAATTCAGACCATGTGGTGCTGCTAATGAAAATCTAAAACTGCACAATTTGTTTCTTACACCTGACGGCATGGGTATATGTAAGAGTAAGTAAACATGCTGGCCGAATCCGTCTAGTATTGAGGGCATAAGAATCACTGTGTTGCCCCCCTTCCCCCGCCCCCCACGATGAGATGATGTTGTTAAGGATATTTTGGGAGTTTGTTTTAAACTCCCCGTGTGACTCTGGTTATGGCTATAGTATAACAGTTTACAAAGGAGCCTACTTTTCGCAGGTGATGAGCAAAATTCCTTTTTATATTGAAAAGGCTATAACAATGAGAGGTGCGATTGCATAAATTCTACACAAAAGTGAAAGTACGATTGGTAATCATAACCTTTTTTTCCAGAAAACGATCCCGGGCAATGGTGACGAACTGGTGTTGAATTCGAACTGCGAAAATAATGACTTTTCACAAAACAAGGAGCACCTTCTTTATACTTTCCTTCCACGTAAGTTTGTTTGACATCTTTGCTGGACACATGGGTTTGTTTCTCATTTCCCATTTTCCCATGACGAAAAACAAAACTTTGCTCATTACCCATCGATGTTTAGTGTTAGTACAAGGAACACCTAAATACTTTCCATTGACGTAAGTTTGTTTGACATCTCTAATTGACACATGGGTTTGCTTGAAATTTCCTATTTTCCCTTGACGAAAAACGAAACTTAGTTCATCCCCTTTGATGTTAGGTAGAGGGGCTGTTATTGCTTTTTCAATCGGACTCCATGGTATAGCAATCGTTAACCAAAAGTCAACGCTACTTTATCTGTAGGCGTGAATTTTTATCACGATGATCGGTTACATTGTGTTAACGACAGGTAGAAGTTACTTTGCCTTCAGCGCTGAAGCTCTTATATATTATAAATCCATGGCGCCAATGACTTACTCATATGCATAATCTATTCATTTATTGATCGAGTCGCAAAATTACTATGCTGAGTTTAAAAATGGATGGTGTTTTCCAGGTCGCTTTTATAAAAAGCTAATATTTGACTTATTTCTTTTTCCACAGGTACCCCATACGTTACTCTTCAAACGTGCACAAGCATTGAGGAAGCGAGACTGGATCAACGCTTTGAAATCATGGATGAATCAGTTGCGAGCATTTGCAGCAAGTTTGCAAGAAGTAAGTTTACGGTGTTGTAGACCCTTTGCAGTTGTTAGGGACCTTAAGACACCACGACGACGACGGCAACGAGGACGTAGAAAAACAACAGATCTGATTGGCAGAACAATAGCTCAGCACGTGCGTTTTGAAACTTTGTACATTTCTTAACCGTCCTATGCAAAACAACAACGTGAAATCGCCAAAATTTGCGTCGTGTGCGAACCGCAACCGCGACGGCAAATTATTTTAATTTCCATTTGGAACTCAACGGCTACTTTATACGTCATGCTGAAGTTGAGCTGCGGCGCTGTATGAGACAGTAAGCTCCTGCAGCCATTTCTGAAATTCTAACTAAGAGTAGAAATTCATTTTTTAATCGAAGTCTTCCTTGGCGTCGCCGTTGTGGTTTCTTAAAGTCCCTAATATCTCGGATGCGACGCAACACTCTAAAATGCTCCTTTTGAGGAAGTGCTGTGCGGCTGCTAAGACCAGTAGAAGAACGATTTCTTTCGTGGTCAGTTAGATGTTCTCACCACTTGATTACACGATAACGTATACCTTAAGAAGGTTGAGCACTACTCCTAGCATTGATTTTAAGTAAGATATAGAAACTTGGAAATTGGCTTTTATTACTCTGGGCCCAGTTGTTCAAAGGCAAATTATTGCTAACTCAAGGTTTCTTTTTTCCTTTGTTCAAGACCCTTTTCAAGATAATTTTCTCCTTTCTTTATAGAACATCCAAAAATCAATTTCTACACGAAAAGAATTCTTTTAAATTTTCTATTAAAGCTTTCAGATCTAAAATCAGATTTCACTTTAACCTTTGGTTATCTTAACACAGCTTTATACAAGCCCGGCCCTGTCTTTTTCTTTTGTAAATCATAGTCGTAAGCGGGAGCTAGGCGGATTTACATAACTCACAGGAGCCTGTGATTATTCCATTATTCAGATCTTGCTTACCATAAGACTACTGAACAATCAAGTACAGCACATGGTGGATTCAGCAGCAGAGCTGTTGATGAAAATTATTCCGCTTTTTACAACGATAAATCGTGCACTCATACCAGAAAAGAGCAAGACCCTTGGTGGAGGGTCGATCTTGGAAGGGAATACATTGTGACAGGTACGTAATACTGAAGCGAGACTGTGTTCAAGATGTTTCTGTGGAGTACTATCTGATTTTTTCACTGATTCTTAGTCCTTGCCTAAATATTGGAAAATTAAATGTGATTATTGGTTTATTTAGACGTAACACCAACTTCTAATCATAAAATTTAACTTTACTTTTTCTCAGAAATTCAGCTAATTAATGCTGGAGAGAAACCGACACTGACTGTAAACTGCATTCAGTCATCTTAAACGTAACACAATTTGATTTAACAACGATGTTGTCTATTCTTCCAAAACATACCTGTTTTCCAACTTCCGGCTACATTAGAAGTAATTCAACTGCATGAAATAGATACAATTATATTTAAGGTAAAATGACATTACAATGTAGTTACTCTGATTTGCATTGTATTCATTACTTTCACGCACCGTTATTAGACAAAAAAAGACTCCTCACAAGTAAAAAAATATTTAGAAAACATTCATCACGCATTCTCTCTTTGTGCAGATGTGTTGATCGTAAATCGGCATGGATCGTATCAAAGGCTTAAGAACTTTGATGTGAAAGTCGGGATCAGCAAAAACAACAAGGAGAATCCGACATGTCACGACCGCGTGAGGTATGTGGACCAGGCGCAAGCACTCAGGGTGCAGTGCGATCCACCAATCCCAGGCCGATATGTGTCGGTACAGATGTATCAATTCGAGTATCTAACCTTGTGCGAGGTGGCAGTTTATTCAAGAGTAGGTAAGTAATGGTATCAATGACGTAAGCAATGTGATCACTAGATTAAGAGAGGAAAACATGATTATTCGCAAGCTAAGCTAAGCCTAATATATTTTCAAATGCGCCTCTGACTCTATCTTTGAATCTTCTTGGTTCAACATTACATTGGAATCTTATTTTATCAAGCTCAGGCTGTTTGGTCTCTTTTCATTACTGGTAGTATAACTTTTTCATGCAAATGCAAAACGCTTTTGCCAAACTGTAAGGACTTGTAGCCATGTAAATACATGTAAGGCTACTTTTTATCTTTGTTGACGTCATTGTGTGGTTAGCATATCATGTTCTTCTTCTTGCCCTAAATTTTCGTTAACGTTTTTATTTTTATTTTTTTACCCTCTTAAGGAATATTTGTGACTCTTACTATCTGAATAATTTTCAGGGGCCTCCTCTCGAGAAGGAAAATATTTTCTTTTTATCATGAAAAAATCATTGAATTCTTTCCTCCCTGATCAGCGAAAACTGAACTGCCAGTCAATGGTTTTATAGCAATTACAGTGCTATTTGAAAAGACAAAGTAAAGGTTCCCTTTTTCTTTTTACTTTTTCCCAGGCTCTCTCGCAGATCTTTGTCAACTGAATAATGGCGGTTGTGACCAGGTTTGTTATAATCTGTGTAACTTGAGAGTCAAGTGTGGCTGTCTACCTGGTTACACTCTCGCTTATGATGGAACCACCTGCATGGGTGAGTAAGCATGCGGTGTGCCTCCTCATAAAGTACAGTAATAGCGAAGTGGAGGCGATTGGAAAAGCTCACGAAATTGTGTTGTCAAATTAATTGTCTACCAAAATGAGATTTTAAACCGTTATCACTTTCTTTGTTGATGGTCTTGCCGTTGTTTTTCGGTGTTTTGTTTCGTTTTTTGTTTACTTGCGTCTTTTTTTCATTTTTCTATATTTGCTCAAGATTCCTCAAGTTGGATTTGAATTATCATGGCTTTTTATCACAAATTTCATATTATTTCTGTCGTTGTGTTTTTGAAATACTCTATAAGTCAACAATTTCATTTTGTGGGTGTGTGTCACGTTTCTTCATCCAATTTCCGCAACAAGCAATTGTCCACTTTTTTTTCCACGATCGACATGATACGGAACAATCTGAACAAAGAGATTAAAAATAGTTTGTAATCTCTTATCTGAACAAATCAAGTGGACAAAAATCTTGTGTTTGGTATGTTAAGTCCTCATGATACCCTCTTGCACAATCCTTTTTTACCAACACAGATCGTAATGAATGCAATCTCAATAATGGAGGCTGTGACAAAGCAAATGGTCGCTGTGTAAATAGCCCTGGTAGCTTCCACTGTGAGTGCAATGCTGGATACAATCTGCAAGAGAATAGTCAATTCGTTTGCGAAGGTGAGTGACTTAGAGATGATAGAAGCAGATACAAGCCACGCATTACGAGTTAAAGGACTATGCCATGGCATTTTCTGTTAATTCTTTTTAGTTTTTCTGTCAAAGAGATTCCGTATTAATACCGGATGAATACAATCTCAACTAATGTCAACAAACGACACTTTACAAGTGTTGTATCTCGCTCTGGCCACAATAGAATGAAAACATCACAAATAATGATACATGAATTGTTATAGAAAATGTTGTTGTTCATCGTGGTTCTATAAATGAATGAACCCTTAATTGTTTGTCGCACAATGTAAGATTCAAGCTAATTAATTGTATCGATGGCGACCTTTCGACTGCCACATAATTCTAGCCCTCTTTAGGCGAAGAAGTCGAAAGTTTTCGTCTGACTTGTATAGCAATCTTGATTTGTAGTCATTGGTGTAGTACGATCCTCATTTCTATTACTAGTATATTATTAATAACAATTAACTAATCACTAATTCTTACATCATTATTAATTATCAATACGTGACTTGTTATCAGATATGGTTCTTATGTACCCCTGTGCTCAGTTTTGGCACTGCCAATCATTATTAATTATCAATACGTGACTTGTTATCAGATATGGTTCTTATGTACCCCTGTGCTCAGTTTTGGCAGTGCCAATCCGTAATCCAACCGATGGCAGTGGGTTTCATTGTTTAGGTCTCATTCGGAAATCATACATAAAATGATTTTTCTTTACGTTTTATTTTCTAACAGATTTATTTTAAAATCTCCTAGATCTTAATGAATGTGGCATGAACAATGCTGGATGTGAGCAGATCTGTAGCAACAGCGATGGTAGCTTTAACTGTGATTGTAGGGCAGGATTCAGACTTAAATCGGATCAAATGGGTTGCGAAGGTGAGTTTTATCCCACAACAAAAACGTATTTGAAAAGGTAGATTTGGGTCTTGTACGTGCACGAAAAATTGATTTATCTATCACGTAATAGGTAGCGAGTAGCGCAGCCAATCAGATTCTAACAATTGTAATAAAATGCCAGTACGTTTTTATTCACAAGCTAAGTTAGCAAACGGATGGTTGGAAGATAACCAACATGTAAGAACTTAACAATAAGCATAATTTTGTCATTGTAGATATTAATGAATGTAATACAGACAAGGGAGGTTGCAACCATAACTGCCATAACTATGAAGGCGGATATTACTGTACTTGCCGGGCTGGCTATCACCTAAAGGATGACGACAAAACATGTGAAGGTAACCTTCAATTAATAGCATTATTCTTTATTTCTAACTTTCGCCAAAGCAAGAGCTCGAATACTAAATTAAAAACTGAATCCATAGTCAGTTTGTCGACGAGCGACTAAAGAAGGCAGCCGGAGGAATGGTGTGGTAAGGTGTGTCTTCGTCTTCTTTGGCCTAAGTCAAGCCCCCACTCATGACCCATAAACGCGTGGATTTTCAACAATCTTTGCTGAAAACAATCATCCTGCGTAAATCGAATTTAGTGAAAGCTATCAAAAATTAGCTACCTTTAATTAATTTACGCATCATTTAGCACCAATATGTTTATTGCAGAGATTTATTGCCCAGCATTGGAAGTTCCATTAAAAGGAGAAATAACGCCGGCAATCTGCACTGATGGTCGTGCAAATATTGCGCCTAACACTGCGTGTGGGTATTCGTGCGTAACTGGATACCACCTTGTAGGTGATAGTTCACTAGTCTGCCAGATTGACGGATTATGGCAAGGGACAGTCCCGCGTTGTGAACGTAAGTAGCACTGTTTTTTCAGATAAATCAAGCTTTGTATGTGCTTGAAAAGCAATGACGGGTGAGGAAGCTGGTTGTTACACGATATACTTATTTCGCATCTCTAGAAGTTAAAAGATGGTACCGATCAATCGGTACCATCCGCCATTTTTTTTAAATAATCACAAAAGCTATCATAACATGACTTTAAAATCGACCTTACACCTCAGTATAATTGGGCAAAACTACTCCAACGACAGTTAATCAGTATCGGAAGCTTTATTCTGGCTGCTTGCTAATAATTACAACCATGAATTCACATGTATTCACAGCGGTTATGTGTCCGAAGCTGACTGTACCGGCCAATGGTGCTGTGGTTCCATCTTCATGTAGCGAAAGGGATTCACAGTACGGTGTGGATTGTTTCTTCAACTGCGATGCGGGCTATGTCTTAAAAGGTCCCAGATTTATGACTTGTCAAACGGATAATTCATGGTCTGATATGGCGTCAATTGCTTGCGAAAAAGGTAAGGAAAGAAACTTGTAACATACAAAACATTCTGAAAAATGTCGAGTGCTTGTAATAGTTTTCAAAGACGAAATTCGGTTGTTTTTCCATCCCCCTTTAGTTACCTGGTTGATCAGTCCTTCACGATGATAATGTCCATTTAGTTATTACATACATGTATAGCATTCAAAATTATGAGAGAGTCATTATTAATGCACACCTCAACTAAATGCTGCAATGTTAAAGTATACGCACTTCAGGACTTAGATTCACATGCTTGTACATAGAAACATTTTACTTTTATACTTTATAAGTGTTAACTGGTCCGTGGATCAAGTGTCCAATGGACAGAGTAGAAGAACTTCAACCAGACCAGTCTGCAGTAGCACTCGGATATAAGTGGCAGAAACCGCAAACAAACATGGATTCCCCTACAGTATCGCCCAGCAACTATGATGAGAATTATCTATTCCCTGTCGGTAAACACAGGGTCATGTGGACAGTAACAGCATCTGGGAGAGAGATAAGCTGTACCTTTTTCATAACCGTCGTCGGTGAGATTACTTTATTTTACAATTGATTCTTGGAAAAGTAACGTATATCTTACTCTATATATGAACTCATCGCTTTCACTAGATGTTTGTCGAAAAATTCTTTAATGTTGTTCGTAACTGAAAAGCAACTACAGCGAAACTTTTTTCCCCGGTTAAAAAAGGCACCTAAATCCATCTGAAGAATCTATGAACATGCTAGTTCATTCAATGAACTAATTCCATGCTAGTGTTAGAGAGCCTTTTGGTTCACTAATTGACGGAAACCCAAAAGTATTCACATTACTGCTAAATAATTAGAGCAAAGGTAAATATTGCAATAAGCTGTGAAAACTCAAGGGAAACATCTTAACTGCCAGAGACACAAAATGATGGTATTGACAAGGTCTAAGGTACAATGTTTAGATTTTTAATCTGATTGGTTGACACGATGTCGAGAGTGTTTTTACAAGTGTAGCGTAGAAACACCAATGCAATCAAGGATTACTTCCGGCACATAAAACTGAATTGCTCTGTTTATATGTAGATGTGACCCCTCCCTCAGTTAAAGACTGCCCGGCGTCATTTACGGAACAAACCGACACACTTTACAAGGAAGTTACATGGAAGGAGCCTACTTTTACCGATAATGTAGGCGTTGTCGTTGTGCTATCCAATCGTGAGCCAAATTTCGACATGCGACCTTTTTCAACAATTTCGATACTATACGTTGCAACTGATGCTGCGGGAAATGAAGCCAACTGTAGGTTTAACGTCACTGTCGAAGGTAAAAAAATGTAAATCGATAAACTGTTTTCCCACAATACATTATCTCATCCATTTACACTTTTTTGTGCGCGTGTTGTTCTTCCTCGATGCAACCACCCACAAGTTTTCTCATCTATCTTTACATTTGCATATAACGAGTAACTTTCAACAACTCAACAATCCCCTTTTTAAAACTACAATAGGTCCGAGGACCTTTTATTCTAGAAGTGTAGCCATCTGGAATAAACTTGACTAAAGATTGAAACTATGTGAAAAACCAGCTTCTTTTAAGAGAGCTTTGAAAAGGCATCTCCTGAATGATTTCTTATTTAAATAACCATTCTATTCTAAAAGTTATAAGTAACTTATATTGTATTTAACGTGTTATTAGTTAGTTTTGTATGTATAGTATCAAGTATGTAAATTATGTAATTGTTCACTGAAAAGCCCCAGAGGGGGATGTGTTCAATAAAATGTATAAATGAATGACCTCTTTGTCAAATCTGGTGGGGCACCACTCACGATGAACTAAAACAGGTGTGCCCCAGAAAACCAAATAATCAAGGTAATGCCGAGGCTTAGCTTTTTACGAACACAACCCTTCAATACCACGTGATTTAATTCCTCATGGTAGTGTTTGCTTTCTTCTGTCTGACAGGCACAAAGTGCAGAACAATTGATCCGCCCAGGAATGGCGTGCTGGAAGAGATTCCTGGCGCCTTTATAAAATTGCGATGTGACCCTGGCTTCCTTCTCAACCCAACTCCCCCCGGATCGCCTGGACTACTCGAACATCCTTCTTACGATTGTCGGGGAAACAGATGGATTTCACAGCATGATGGAGAATCCGAGCTGACCAAGCATGTAGATTGCGCGGGTAAGGATAATTTTTGGATGTTCTTTCTATTTACAAAAAAAAAAGCAAATCGTTACTTCTAAGAAAAAAAGTGCATAACGATAGGAAACTTATATAGAGAGAAAAGACTAAACAACTGACGTTAACAATATAGACCGATGAAGGAGCCGAAAGAAAATTATAAGTCAAACAAATGCTTAAATTTTTCTGCTTGGAAGAATATCAATTAGTATGTAACTACCTATACAAAAATAATTTTTCCAAATTTCATTTCAGCTTACACTGAACCTGACGGGCAAGCTTGCAAAGAAGGTTCAACTTTGATGGGAGACATGTGTGGTATGTTGCAATTCGCGAAATTCACTTTTTATTTTGTCTAATTGGGCGTTCACGTGTTTTTCAGAGACCTGAATCGAACACAGAGGTGTGTAGTTTGTTTGTGCGGACATAATTTTTCGTACCACTTAATTACTGTAGTCGATTATAATTTAGCTAACTAGTGTATACGCTGAGACGATCGCATGGTTTTTTTCAAGGAACTTCACCTCCATTATGCGCGTCTTTCACTTCGTTATTTCGACAACTGACTAATCATGAGACAAGTCGAACGTGGTAGTACCACATTTTGTGAAAAATGGATTATCCTTTCTCGTGTGAGCTTGCAATTTGCATGGGTATTTTGTGACGTGTTTCTTATCTTGATTTCTTCAGTGGACTGTCCTCCGGGAACATATGGAGATTCTGGAAAATGTAAAGAGTGCACAGCCGGCTTTTTCCAGGACACACCCGGAATGACGGAATGCATGCCATGTCCAAAGAACTTTTCAAGTACCGTGATCAGATCTACATCGGGAGCAGACTGCAAACGTAAGGAGATATTTTGGGCCGGTTACTTAAACAAAGTTTAGCCGTTGTTTAACAGAACCGAATATTTACTTTTGTGAACGATGTCACAACCTCCTTATAAAGAATACGTAAGGCCAACTGCTTGCGTAAAACCGTAGTTTTGATTATAAATCGAGTAAATGACCGGCCCTTTGACTACAAGATGTTGATGTTGGCGCCATACTTTACAGGTGTTCAGTTGGACGCAGTTCATACGCAACTTATATGAGACCGAAACTTGAAAAAAACAAACCGGCACAAGTCTTATTTAAAATAGTATGTCCGTCAGAATTCTCCCAGTTAAACACGCAATCAATCTTTTGTACTCGTTAATTATGTGTGGCTCCTCGTTTTAGCAATCTGTAGGCCTGGTGAATACTCCATAAATGGTGGCGTCGATCCTTGTCTGGACTGTCCGGTGGGTACATACCAAGACAACTACCAACGAACTAAGTGTCACGCATGCCCAGCAGGTTCGACTACATTGAACAAAAAAAGTTCTTCGGCAGATGATTGCTACTGTAAGTGATTCCTCGCTATGTGTTATTGTTACCTAGAATAATGCACCCTTATCAAAAATGTCGCTTCAAAATAAGAACTACTAAATTTTAAATTGCACAGGACCTTTAGGACAGCATCATAAAAATCACCTTTTGTTGTATAATTTCAGTGTCTCATTCGACAGGGGTTGACTCGACCGAGAAACTGTAACATCGAATAATTAACAATTATTTCATGTCTGCACGGCGAGGAATATGAGATGGTGAACGCACCTCGTTGGTTACAACTTATCTCGTATCCAACAAATGCGAATTAATTAATTGTCAAATTTTATTAAATCCAGAACATTTGGATATTTAAGGCTTTTTTTTCTCAGCTCGGCAAATTAGTGCAATACGTTTCCAAATGAGTTGACTCAGAATATGAGCTGATAACTGGAGTCGAGTGAACCAATCAGAACACTTATCTCATAATAATAAGACTTTTTTGTGCAACTTACAGCTAAACTCACTCAACGCAAGGTGGGTGAGTTTAAAGAATACCCAAACCCGGATAAAGGAGCCTTTTTTAGTTCTAAGAGCGAACTTACTTGACTGATTATAAACCGAGAGTGAAAAATTTCAGATCATCGGTTGCTGTATAGTTTTCTTGGAATTGAGGACTTTCCCCTCTTATCTTTTAGGTGCCCTTAGCATCACTATGACCATGCCAACAGAGAGTCAAGTCCTACGTGTGCAGCAAACTGTAAGACTTGCTTGTTTCATTGAGGGACACCCGATACCAAAGATTAAGTGGACTAAAGTTGGAGGTAATGGTTCTTTGCGTCCGTCAATAACATCACCGTTGAGTGGGGACCTATGTAATGCAATTACGGCAAACCTGAAACCGACATTAATAGTTTTATTACAGCTTTGCCTGTCACCAAGACATAAATTATGCATTATGCTGCAAACGACGCAATACGAAGATGCCACCATACGCATCTCCATATACACTATTCTTTGTGAAACCTTTGGAGTTTCTGTTCAAACAAAGAAGTGGTGACTCTTTAAACAAAGCCAGTATTGGTTTTATAGATAAGCTGTGCATTAACAAAAACAGAAGAATATACCACTGCCTTACAAACCCGTGCTATACAATCTAATGATTTGCTTTCATTGTCTGCAGGTTCGATGCCTTCTAGGCGAGTCACCATCGAAAATGTGTATGATTCGGACGCAAAGTTGAATGGTGTTGTGTACAACATTGATAACGCCGAGGTTTCTGATTCTGGAACTTACGAGTGCAGTGTTGAAAATAAATTTATGGGAATTGCTAAGCGTGTCAGGATTGACGTACTTCAGGTAGCTGAATAGCTAAAGGTAAGATTAAATTGTTTACGTAGTGGCTTGAAACTTTCCTTTTCTCTGATTATGATAAAGTAGTGGTCAGAGTCCTTTTAACCCAAAAATGAACTTTTAATGATCTCGATGATATTTTCCTGAATCGATTCCTGGGCCATGCTGTTAGATCAAAATTACTTGTGAAATACAGTCAAACCCTGTATTATGCGGCATCGTATTAAGCGGTCACTATGTATCAAGCAGTCGGTTGTCAGAGTCCCGAACTTGCGTAGTTACAGTGATTTTTACTTCTTATTAAGGTGTCACCTCAGTTTAGCGGACATGACCTGTTCACCTTTGAGCGCGTCCCTGTTAAAGCAGAACCAATAAAATAAAACTAAGAATAGTGAAAAATTTAAACCATGTTTCTCTCCCAAAATCAATGTTAGCAGTATTTTGAGCGAGTATTGTACAGTAAGTGGTCAATTATGGCATAAAATGGCATTTTTTTTTTTGTCGTTGTTATATTACCCCTATTCTGTGGAACCGTTATTAAAGCAGACAACCTGTATTAAGCGGTCACCCACACTATTCCCTGTGGATGAGTGCTAAGTGCAGGTGTGACTGTATATTACATATTACTGTCATATTAGACGTATAACTCCTCTTCGACTTCTTTTTACAGACGTCTTAAAGCCGAAAATTGAAACAGTGGATCATGTATTGACAAGGAATACATTTTAGTGCTAATCCCGATAATAAAATGGAAAAATTAAACAGTGGTAAAATTGTAAGAGGCTTAAATCGGTGGAAATAGCGGGAGTAGTTGGAATAAAATATGTAGTATTGTAATGGGCTGACAGAGGGTGACAAAATTCAATAAAGTTTATTTGAAAATTATCAAGCCTTGTAGATTTTCATTATAAATCAAAGTAGTGTTCAAGATTCTTTGAAAAAGCGCCGTTTTTAGGCCACATGCGGCTTAAAAACTTTGGCCATCTTTATTTTCTACAATTATATCTATTCGTGATGTTACTTTTTTACTTGGAAACTTAATTTAGCCGAAAGTATATGGAAAAAAGTAGCTCAGCTTGGGTGTAGAACTGTCTACATGAACTCTTAAATTTGTGATCTTGTGCGGGTTTTACAATAGCATCGCATCGGAAATGTGCTTCTTTTCCTTGGAAAGGTTTTTTTATAATTCCTTTCGTGAAATGAAATTTCACAAGAAAAAACGCAAGTTTTGGAAATATATCTGCATGCAAAGACATGCATTAAAGTTTTAAGCTTTTTTTTTTGCAGTTTTTTTCTTGATCTTGGCTTGATAAGAAATGATACAGAACATGATCTTAATGACAATTTTCTCAACGTTTCCTCAAAGATAGATAAAAGTAATTCCATATGGAGGCGTTTTTCTCCAGACAAAAGCTCATCGGTTTATGAGAATTTGGTTCCTGGCGCCGTCATCTTTGTCTTACAAAAAAAAAGTCCTAAATATTCCTATGGGTAGATAAAGGCAGGAATCAAACCCATAAGGCGAATTTGCAAACGATTGAAAGCGCCTCCAACTAAGTATGGGAGCAATAACTCTTGCGCGTACATTAGCAAAATTTTTTTCCTTCTCTGGGGGCAAATTAGAGATGGTGATTAAGAGAAAACAATCCGCAGAGAACAATGGCCCAGGTGCTCCTTCTTTCTTATGAATATGGACACGGTTCAATACGATAAATAATGATAAAAAAAGTTAAACGATTTTCCACATTCATCAGTTCGATAGATTCCTATGACAACTAAGTCACTGGGGTAAGAGTAAGAGTGTATGGCATATCAAAGATATTACCTTGGAGAAATGAAAAAAATCAATCGAGGCTAATAAATGGAGCAAAAGAAAGACAAGGACAGCATTTTCGATATTCAAATTAATGCTTTACAGTTAATTTTTTACTTACCTCCTTAAAAACAATCTAAAGACAGTAAGTTCGTGTTTCGTTGCGAAACTGATTCAAAACTTTGAATTCCCAATAGTTGTATTTAAAGCGTTATTTTGGGTAAAAGGAGAAAAGAAAACTTTAAAGCACCAATATCAATAATAGAGCTGTGCAGTAATTAACGAACTGAACTTTATTTGGCCATCTGACTTTGGAACTCAAACAGTTTCCCCAGCTTTACACACATTGGGTCATTTTCTCCGTTTTAGTTGTCCGCTTGACTACCAAACACACATCCTCCAAATTGTTGTGCGTTCACCTTCTACTACCACTGAACACCTTTTTATTAGTTACGGCATATTTGTGGAGAGTGCTGCTCGATAGAATTCTCGCTTTACCTTTAGAATGTTTTTTGGTGATGTAAATATGCTAGCTCAACTTCTTGGAGCCGGACGTCATAGTTACTTAGCAAATGTACTTACAGGAATCAAGTAAAATTTGATTGTGTACCCAATGTACACCTGTGATTTTCTGGGGAAAACAGAATATTGTCCTTCAAAGTTCACAAATCAGTTATGCTGCTAAAATAGATAGGAAAAAAAACGGAGGTTAGAGCAATCCGATTAAGCATGATTGCTTTAGTCATAGGGGAGATTTAAGATTTGAGCAAGTTTGATACGTTTGAATGAAATCAATATACTTCTTGGTAGGTAGAAAGAATGTGTGAGGGAAACAAATTATAATTATTTCCCAAGACGATTTAGTCGAGTCCAATTTATTTCTATTTCCAACTCAGTGCAGTTTGGTTACAACAAAGGAAAAGACCTTGTTGAATTAGAAATGCTTATAAGTCTTAATCACTGTTTTCTATGCAACATTTGGATTTATCCAATGTGTAGTATCAAATTTTCAAAAGGCTTTCTAGTAATTAAGAAGTTCACATCTCTGATGTATTACGTACAGTAAAATAACCGTCGGTTTGGCCTCGCTGGAATAACAGTAATTACATAGATCAAACAGTCCGTTGCACACCAAAATTGATACAGCTTCGTCAACAAATTATATTAATCGACTCAGGTGTCTATGAATATAACTTTTATTTAATTTTTTAGACACATGAAGCGTTTTAATACTTTGGAACCTTAATTTGTCTCACGGTTCAGACAGAAGGACAAGAAAGTCATAGGATAGGGGGATTGCAAGGGCTATGCTTTGGTCCTCTTGGCTTATTAGAGAGATTCAAAGAAAAAGTTCAGGAATATGCACAAATTTGTCGTATTAGTATTTTTGTTCTTGTTAATAGTGATAATTTGGAATTACGTTGGGGCAGCAGGTTAGTATTTCTTTGTTGTTATAAATTTGTCATCGTATCTTTGTTTCTAAATCAGTCAAAATATTTTAGTCTTTCTTTTTTTGTTCGGTAAGAATAGAGAGGTTTCGCTGATTTCTCACGATGATAAAAGTAAACTAAAGATACTGTGGGGAATTAGGCCGAGGACTTTTTGTTACACTTGCGTTCTGACGATATTTGAGTAGTTTCGTTTTATGGATTAGAGATTCTATTTAAAAACTACCTATCCTTTTTGAGTTTTCGCTTTCATAATTTCTTGAGAGCATTTTACCCAAGAAAAGCTCAAAAGTGGGTATTAAGTCCCCTAGAATTCTTTATATCAACTGAGATTCAACAAATTTTGAGGAGGTCCTTCTTAAACATGGTACTTTTATTAATTTTATTTCACTGTGATATTAAAGCGCTTTTCTTTTTTGTCGTTTTGAATAAGAACAGATCCAAAGATAATTTAAGCTGTTGGAAAACTTTTTCAGCTCTAAAGCCTAAATCATATTCTCTGAGAATCAATGTCTAACCTCAGCCTTTTTCCTTTGTTTATTTTATTTATTTATCATTATCATTTTTTTTTTTGCGTTATTCTTCTTGAAAGTGAATGGAGGCTGGTCCGGTTGGTCTGCATGGAGCGGTTGTGCAGCAGGTATTTGCGCGGGAAATCAGCGCATTCGAACGAGAACTTGCACCAATCCCGTACCAAGTGACGATGGAAAATATTGCGATGAAGGAGAAAGTTCGGAGCAAAAAGATTGCATGAGTAAGTACCAACATACTTTTCAGTGGCTGTAGAAGATCAGCGATCTATAGAGTTAACCCAATAAGTGAGCGTGAATATTTTTCTGTTAAATATTGCATGTAAACAGGGATATCCTCATTAAAATTCGTCGCTAATAAGCATCTTTTTTTCATTATTGTTTGGCAAAATAAAACAAGGGACACATGGAACTGGTAAAAAAATTAGTAATTCCTCTTATTCATAAATATAAAATACTTTTCATACATCATGATTGTATTTTTTTCTCTGTTTAACGTCTCCGGTTAACTACTGATGTTGTAACAATTGCAGTTAACGGAGGATTTACAGAGTGGAGCCAATGGTCTTTATGCGACAATCCGTGCGGGGGATCTGTGGTAAACAGAAGTAGAGCCTGTACCAACCCCACCCCCACTCCCGATGGGAAGCCGTGTTCTGGTGATGCATTCCAAACGAAACTTGAATGTATCTGGCCGTGTCCAAGTAAGTAAATCTTGTCATGGAAACGGTTACTATGTAGGGAAATGCAGATTGAATTTTAGCCACCAGTCGTGCGAAATAAATGAAAATTTTTTGAGCCCTCGTCTCCGTAAAATTGTAAATTCTACGCGGTTTAAAGTTGAGCTTTCACACTTTGAAAAAAAGAATACGACAGAATTTTAGGGAGAGAATACTTAAAGAGTTTATATATATACCAATAAGAAGATGAAAGTCGTTCGTTCAGTTTGCCTTTTGACATTTGTGAGTTTATGAAATGTATGATCGTAAACTGGCAAGGCGATCTCTGAGACTTAAATTTACATTGTGCCCATATTTTCTCTTAGCTGGTCCTCTTGACGGCGGGTGGGGTGCCTGGAGTCCTTGGACACAGTGTCCTAAAACATGTGGAATACCTGGAGGAAACGTTCTGAGAAGAACGAGGTTATGCAATCGACCACCCCCAATGAATGGTGGTAAACAGTGTGTTGGAAACGGCACCGAAACGGCGAGAGCTTGTTTCGCAGAGTGTCCAGGTTAAAAGAATACTTCTATTGAAACATCTTTGTCTGATACATTATTTCACGTACGAGCAATCAAGAATTCGGAACTCATGATGATTATATATATATATATATATATATGTATAAAATTATTTTGATGTGATTGAAGTTTGTTTGATTTATTTTGTCATTAATAAATTTTTGTTTTTGTTTCTTTTTTGATTATTTTTTTGTCCATTTGTTCGTTTATTTCTTGATTGATTCCATGCTTCCAGTGTAACGCAGTTAAAGAGTCAAACACGGAGGCGTTCTATTAATTTTTTACCTTTATTTTATTCACAGTCAATGGCGCCTTTGGTCTTTGGTCACCTTGGACAACGTGTAGTAAGACGTGTGGGACTGGCACTCAGTCAAGAAGTAGACTCTGTAATAACCCAACCCCTACCGGTGGGGGACAAAACTGCACTGGGGACCCTACTCAGGCAAAGAGTTGCAAAATCAAGTCCTGTCCAGGTTTGTAATTCTCATGTGTTTTTATGAACAGTCAGACAAAGTATACTGTGTTGGTAAATGACGAAACAAAGAGCCGAGTACTTTTAATCAAAATTAATATTACAATTATATCCTTTGCAAATACTTACATTCATCGACCAAAATGTTAGGGGCGGTAAATGGAGGGTGGTCAGCGTATTCGCCTTGGACAGCATGCACAGAGGCTAAATATTGTCTGCAAGGAATCAAGAAAAGGACAAGAAGCTGTACAAATCCTCCTCCAGCAAATGGCGGAGATGAGTGTGCTGGTCTGGTGGAAGAGGAAAAGGTTTGTCCCACACAAGAGGATGGATGTACAAGTAAGAATTCTGAATTCGTTGAATTAGGATTTTCAAAACAAGTATTTGTTGGACTGTTGACAACTTTTCCGCAGAAACCTTGAGCCAAAATATGGATATGCGCAAAATCGTAACTACTTTTGCGAGAGGGATTCGTGTTCAAGAAGGACGAGAAGGAAGGAGCAGACCGGACTTGACTTTACTTTGGAGTCTTTATCTGAAGAACATCATATTGTGTAAATCCCAGTCTTTTGGAACTAGTCGCGTCGCCATAAATTTACTGGCGATCTTTTAGATACTGACATCCCAAAATATGTCAAATTTTACCTTTTGGTTAGTGGTGGGGAAACTGACAGTTCTTTGTCCTTGTTTTCTTTTAAAAGCGTATCAACCCAACAAGCCAGACAAAACGCCAACAGACCCAGCATCCTGGATTGCTATAGAATGTGAAGCAGCCGAAAAGTTCTCAGCTACCGGGGCTCACAAACAAGATGTTCCTTTTGCTGTATACTCAAACTTCAACTTCATGAAAACTGAGTTGGAAAGCGGGTGGTTTGCCATCCAAGTAGTCCCTGATGATAAAGACGATTACGGACAAAAAAAATTGACTAAGGTATGTAGGTGAAGTAAATGTAGTAATGATGTCAGTATCTGACTTGGACTGCTCTTTCTAATTCCGGAAGTAGAATATAGGGTTCAAATCTCAAAAAAAAATCAATTCGTGTCATGTCATAGGAAGATTAAGAAACAAAAAAGTACTAATTATTTTGTTCTACTTTATTTATTTTTTCATGTTTTTTGTCTTCTAAAATCTTAGATCACTGACATTACCACAGTAAGAACTTTGTACCATAACTAAAACAGTGACATCGTATAGTTATTTTCCCAATATTCACTTCTTTTTAACGTTTGTCCATCTTTTTTCAGGTTTGTTTTGAGATAATCGATCCGCTGACCATCAACAAGGTTGTTACAAATAAAGCAACATACTATTCAAAAATATCCGCGATACCGGAATGGACTAAGCCCGAATTGAGTGAAACCGTTCCTGCGTTTACCATCTGGATTGACGAGTCACAAGCTCTTAGAAAATACGAATTTCAGTGCGCAAAATCAGATGAGTATGTGCCGTTTACCGGATTCGTCGTCAAAAATGTTAGGTAAGAATTTGTGTCGGTTTGAAGGTGACTGTATTTTCAGTACGCTTTCAAGAGAATGTCATCTGAGATCGGATATTCCAAGGACACTTTCTAATATATTTTCAAATGTATAAGAAGTGATCGGAGTTAAAAGATTCTCTATCGCTTTGATCCAATTTTATCTTTACTAATTCATATATCTAATTAACCAAGCGCGAGGGCCGTACTGGGAGAATCTCGGCCCGAAGTCTTGACAGTACGGACCGAGCGCAGCGAGGTCCGTACAAAAAAGACCGAGGGCCGATATTCTTCCAATACGGTCCCGAGCAAGCTTGGTTAATAAAAGATTTATTATACGACTGAAGTTCAAAGGGACACAAGTGTGGTATCATTCGGGACCATTCGGGACAGTGCCCGGTCCAATACTTAGCGAATATTGGACTACATTTTGATTGGTTGATTTTAGTTATTGGCCCTCTGACTGCCCGAGTTGTGTAATAAAATCAATTATAAGGTTGTGTCGGTGTTTCTGATTAAAATCCTGAAACAAAGAAATCTTATTCCACAAATGTTCATGATTAAAATTTAAATTAGCCTCAATTCATTAAACAGAGCAATAATCATTGCTGCTTTATATCTCCACTTAAGATTCACGTATTACACAGAAGGTAATTCTCAGACGTTTAAAGCAAAGGGGGATCATTATATCGCGTCAGGAACTGCATTCCGCACTGAAGTGAAGAAAGATGTTATAAGTGGATCAGTGTACGCTAAAGGCACTGCATCTTCTATTACATTTGTGGACGTAATGGCCTCCTTCGGGTTAAAGCCTAGCTCCTTGCCAGATTTCTTTGTGAATGCTTTGAAGTAAGTAGTAAACTTCTAAAGTGTTATGAATCTCCAAACCCTTTTAATGGTTTTCTTGTGTCCCAAGTTAGCCTGGCTTTCAAGAATCAACTCGAAATAAAGGATATTAGCTGAGCTCAGGATAGTTTGTCGTGGTCCTCACTCATTGTTTTCATATCACCCATTTACACAATACTTTAAAAAGTGCTTTTTATTGCTTTCTTTATCGATTCCTTATTTGCTTGATAATACACTGCCTACTGGGAATAATTAAATTCTTAACACTGGGTTCGCATGATATATACATGCGTTACTTATAAATTAATTTTTTTTTCACAGAGGAATTGGTCTGTGGGATTTCAGCTTAAAGCCAGCTGAATTCTTAAGGAAGCTCGCAAAGGGTGGAGTATACAGATTTACAGCCTCAATCGATGCTGGCGGTGTCCCAATTCATGTTGAGATAATAACTGGAATCAGATTTGGACGACCAGCTTTTGCTGTCGGGTTTGCCTTTGACCGGGAATCTTTTGGAAAAGTTGCAGAAAAACTGTCCGGAATCGGAGTGGATTTCCTGGACAAACTTGGCTTTGAGTTAGAGGTAAACGGTATTAAAAAATTTTGAAAATATAATGCAGTATGAATTGGTGAAGAAAATGAATATCAAGCTCTATGATTGAAATATTGTTTTGTCTTGTACATGTTGGAATAAAATACCTTTATTTTGCCTTTTCTCATTCAGATTGGGGTATCATTTTGCCCGCCAGAGAGCCTTGGATTTCAGGACCTCTATGTGGATGCCGAGACAAAGTTTTCAAAAGAACCGCTGCAAAGTTTTGTCACCACAAGCATTCCTAGAGGTAGGTTTGTTCATTTTAATTCAAAAAATTTCGGCTCCATAGAGAAAATCCAAAGAATAAAATGAAGGGATGGGGCGTTAACAGACTACTGAACAAACAAAGATTTTGATTTCTTTATGATCTTCGGTTGAAAATAAGGGTGGCACTTTGTCCTAAGATAAATACATTTTAGCTTTAGCTTATCTAGTTCGGCTCAAGGAGAAACAAAATGAATGCTCTTAAATGCTCTACAAGGGCAGCCACTACTAAAAGCATTTTATGGAGTGACCAGTGACAACGCTTTGTTTCAAAGGAAGTCTGTTTTCCACGGTGCTGTACCTACCTATTGCCAATATAAAACTAAATTTTTTTTTTATGCAACACAGTGCATCAAAAATTCAACAAATAATTTGCGGTATGTTTCAAATCTACGTACTTCGGCGAGTAATCATTGCAAACAGATATTAATGACCTTATTTGCACTTTTTTGCAGGAATTTTCGCCGCGGCTCAAATCGTTTTACCAAAAGACTGCAAAGGCAATAAATTCTGTGAAATTGTTAAGATGATCGTGGGGCCAACTGCCAAGTGGTACATTACAGGTCACTTCCAGTGGAAAAATATCCGAATTGCTACAGGCTTTGCTAATATCCGTATCTTTGATGGCCTTTATTTTCACAAACTTGAGTTGTACGTGGAGGTAAGTTACAACTGTAGGATGCGCGAGTAGGCGGCAACATTGAAATATTATTCATTCAACATTCTAAATGACATATCTTGGCCGCTTGTGATCGAAGTAGTTTTACGGCTGAAATGAAGAACCTTTTATTGCACTTCTTCAAGATGTTGAGGCAAAGACTCTGGGAGGGGAAGGAGGGGAGGAGGGTATAGATTTGTTGCCCTTGATTTCATAGAAGCCATTACTAAGAAAGATCTATGCGTTTGACAAGATAGTTTGGTGTTATCAACTGAGTTGATAATGTACATTAGCTTCAGTAAAGAGTTACTAAGCTGAGCTTTCGAGCGTTATCTCTTCGTTAGAGAGAACGAAGACGGGCTAACGGAGGGCTCTGACATTCTTCAACACTTGAAGCCTCAGCCTAGAAACTCTTTAGCATAGCTAATCAGTTTACATTATCAAATCAGTTGATAAAACCAAATCATTTAGAACGGACACAGCTTGATCTGTTTTCGTGTGGTAGGTATTGCCAAGTTCCTCCTCAGAAGAAATTAAACCTTCGTTAACCCTCGCAATGATATATATTTTGGGGATAGGAAACGCTCCGGCTGCTCTACAATATAGCTATATTTGTTTTTTTTATGCTTTATCAGAAAACACTTCTAAGACCGTGTTCCTTCAATCTTATCTAGGCTGATTGGAATGCCACGAACAAGCATATAAAGATGGGATTCCGTGCAGACATAAAGATTCCAGTGAATGGTGACATTTATCGCGATGGTATCAAAGCACCGAATAGCGAACTGTTTCTGGTTGGTGTGTTGGAATACGATTTCTTACAACAGGAGGTTGCTGGAAAATTGGGCATGAGAGGAATATGGAAGAAAGCCTTCTTCATTCCATTTCTCGGCATTGGCAACATTTTCCTCGGGTAAGACCTGGTGGAGAAGCTCACAAAGCTATCGCTTCTGATTCTAGCTATCAGGATTATGACTAGTCAATAGAATTAAAAAGGCAAAATGGATGAAAAGTAAAATGAATCCATGCAAGCGTCGACGGGGCCTGACCCCATTCCTCCTAGTAATTTGCTACTACAAACTGAGCCACAGTCGATATTTTGGTTAGGTTAGATGTTTTATTTTCTTTTGCATCTAGCTATTGATTTCTAATGATCATTTAAAAAGAAATCGCTTCACGCAATTGCGTGCCCTTCTCACACGCTTGATCTGTTGTGTTCTTTCACGCGCTTCCTTTTGTTTTGAAACCTTGACACGCTTTATAGCTCAATGTATTCCGCCCCATTGTTTGATATCTTACACTACAATATGTTTTCTGTGTTCACTAAATCGAAAGAAACTACTGAGGAGGTAAGCTAGAATATGTTATTTTGTTCTAAAGTGTCAGTGTCGTAGGCGTGGTGTCACCTTTATTTTCAAAATCCCGTGGAGGGTCACGTTTTTTAAAGCAACTGCATGTTATAATCTGAGCACTTCGCGTTTGCGTTTAATTGCCAAGAAACAATAATACCTTTTGATTTAAGGTTGACGTATCAAGTTGGAGTGCCATTTCCAGTCACTGGTGTGCAGTTTGGAATGCGAGTTGAATTTGGATATGATTGTCTGATACCAGCAGACTTTAATAATGATGTACGTAACATCAACATCATTTTACATTAAAACAGCAATACAGTTTCAGCATTTGGTACAAAATGTTCAAATCTTTCAAAAATCGTACAAATTAATCACTCACATACTCCTGAAAGTATTTTTCTCCCGCTCCTTAATATCTAAGTCATCTGGAAAACAAAAGGAGGTGTAAAGTCTAAACTAACTTAAGTAAAAACATTTAAAAGTAACGATTATCTAACGTTTATTATAACATAACCAAAGTAAAGCGCGCGCTCTGAATTGTCAATTTAGCGTCCTCCATTTGCCCGTGGGTGTACGCTGCTGACGTGAGCAAATGCAAAGACTATTTTTCCGCGCGCGCTTGTTTTTTCTGGTCACGTAAGATTTGTTAAATAGAAGGGAACTCTTTAGCTACAATGTATCAATGTTATGTTATAAAACAAGTGGTAAACACCACAGCGTACACAATTGAGTTATGGATGCACTAGGGAGGTTTGCTAAGCACTCAAGAAGCTAGAGTCGCTCTCGGCTATCACCTCGCGCGACTCTTACGCTTCTTTCGTGCTTAGCAACCTCCCGCGTGCATCTATAATTCAATAGTGTACGCTGTGGTGTTTACCATTTGTTAAATGTATGCAAACTGGCTCTTTTTTCTTTTTCTTGTCGATAGGGTCATTGTTTCGGCGGAAGTGGATATTTTGGAATCGGAAAGCCTCAGTTTTTTTATGCCAGCATGACAGCATTGACTCTTGGAAAAATCATTCGACTTTTGGGATTGAAATTCCCTCTTCCACCTCCAATTGCCCAGACTGGCTTCCCAGAAGGCGTCGAGGTAAGTGTCGAGAGACATCATCTCAAAAAAGCATCAGCTCTGCGTGATGAACTTGAATTGCCCAATATAACCAAGAGAAGCTTTGAGTTAAGGAGGTTCCTCTAGTTCCAAAATCTGCAGGACAGAATGGAGGCTACATCTAAGGAGGTCGTTTCTCTATCTTTGTTGAAATACGCAAGCTTGAGCCAGTGAAAATAGAGAGTTGAAAAAGGGATGTTACAAAATCAGGGAATTTGCCTGAAGACATTGATTCATCGGTAGAGTTTTACCTTTTCTTAATTTTGTTCCTCCGCCTCAGCGGTACATTGATTGGTCTCTCAGCTATCCTTCGAGTCATCAATTCATTCTGTTCCTTATGGAACTTATGCTGTGATCAATTGTCAGAATTAAAGCATATCCTAATCTTATGTAAAAGATACACTATGACACCTCCTATACGGTTAACACCCGGACTAAGTTCCCCTGGATTGGATGTCCTTCTATCACGGATCCCGACTCACGACGGCGCTACATCATGGCTACCAGCATTATTTATTTTTGCTCCCTTCAAAACATAATCCCAAAATTCTTGTTTTACTTTTATTTTAAAGGGCTCATATTCAACAGACAATGTTGATCTGCGAATCGCAGGCGGCCCGTACATCTACAAAGGATTTATGATCAAAGGACGAGTTAATATTCTGGGATGGGAAATATTTGCACATATTAAACTATCAGATGTGGTAAGAAACTTTTAGGGGCTGGTTTCTTTTTGTGACTGTTATCAACGGAATACTTGTGATTTCTTCCTTGAAGTATAAAGGGCTGGCAAATTCAACGCCAGTCATCTACTGTCAGTGGGCAGATATTATTAGATAACTGGAGACGGCTGCCTAAGGCCTTTCTATTTCTAAAACGCTCAGTGCTTCAAGGTCCTAGAAGTCATAGATTTGCCAATACTTGAAATTTCTGAGCCTAATGCATCCAAGAGATACCTGTCCTCCGCTTCTACTCCACTCAAAACCCACACCCAATCTCTGTACAGCTATGGGGTGATCAAATCCACATTTCGGAGGTGATGGTTCCCATACATGACAGGACGGAAAATGCGTGCACTGTAAGTACCTCCCGTTGTCCTTTTCAAAGCCTTAGAAAACTTTTCTTCAACAGGCAATTTTTGTGGACTTGAAACCTGACCCAATCAATATTTTGGGCATTGTGAAAATCACTCGTAGCCCTTCCGAGCAAGATAAAGGACCTTGGTTTTATGTTGACGCAAGAAAGACTCCAATTTTCATAGAGGTGGGTTGATATACAGTTTCAATATGATATTTATAATAAAATAAAATAATTCAAATTAATAATTTAACTCTACGCTTTATTTGTCATCGACGAATATACCAAGGCCAATCAAGCCTATATAAAACATTTCTTATCATCTGAAAAAAAAAACAGCAATAGAAACGGGGTAAAAAAGAAGATAGATAAACAAAACATACCAGTACAAAAATTTAGCCGAACCTAGGCATGGTTCTGGGATTCAAGATTCAACCCTACCCCCATATATGCATGACTTCGCGTTGCGCTCTAGGTACAATCTTTTGCCCTTGCCAAATACATTATCATGCGCAGAAGAACATAGATTCGTATGTATATGACCACTTACGACAAGCAGACTTTGTCGACTGGGATGCCATATTTTCATATGCGTCAAGGTTCTGGGTCTAGTTGTTCAAAGGTTAAAAACACTATCCAACGGATAATTAAATCACTACTGACAGTGGATAATTGTTAATGAAAAGTACTGCGTTTTTCACCAAATAGCGTTATCCACCTTTCGAACAACCGAGGCCTACATTGTACAGGCACTAATAAACAACACTCTTTTTCACCAGGCTTACATTGAGGGTTACACAGAGCTTCTGGGAATTTCAACTTACTGTCGGCTGAACTTAACAATGACCCGAATGGAACTACTCATCCAAGGAAACTTCCTGAATCTCATCAAGGCTGAATTGTTCGTGTTTGCATCTTATAGCATCATTTTCCCAAGTGCCGAGTTCTACGTCAGAGTCACAGTTGACTTAAGTGGAATAAACAACGTAAGTAAATTCCTTCGTGCCCTCATCCTCAAAATTATCTTATGACCTACCTCACTAAAAAAGTTGGTTGAGTCACTTTCAAGATGTTTAGCTGGTGATATTGGAGGTTTCAATTTCCCTTATTGCCCGAGTAATACGTTCAGTGAGACAAATCTGTTTCTGAAGGCGATTCTAGGCCAAACAGGTAAATATTAACTCCGGTAACAGGTCAATGTTAACTCCGATTATTCTTTGCGCCAAAAACGCTCTATAAATTGCAATTTGCATGATTTTTTATATGTTTTCCTTGATAATGGAGTCATGACTACTCCGACACGTCGGATTTTATCTTTCGTTTTTACAGTTTTTTGATTATCAAACTCATCGTGCAAATTATTTTTAGGACCTCGTTACACAATCAACATACTTTTCGAACGGCATCGAAGATTGTATTCCTTTCTCTGAGTTGCTATTTTATGCCATAATTATGAGATAAAAACTAAGGTTAATATTTTAGAAATCCAAAAAAATTCATTCATTTTAAAAAGGATAAAGTTTGAGACAGAGGATAACAGAAAGCCCATTTTGCATTAGGTGACCTTTCTTTTCTTTATAAAGCCATCAGCGTCGTGATTGAATTGATTTAACTCACCTTTTTCTATCCGGGTGCTTAAAAGCTATTGTGAAATCTTTTTTTCCAGGCATTAGATGCCGCCGCCAAAGCTGTCAAGGGAGCTTTCGATGCTGCTCAAAAGAAGCTCTCTGATGCAAGAAATAAAGTCATCCAAGAAAAGGAAAACTGTAAAAGAAAAATGGCACTGAAGTGTGATAACTGTAAAAAGCTCAAATGCGCTCAAGCTGAACGGAACTGTAAAGGATGGCTGGATGCGGCTGGCAAATGGATCGGTGGGATAGTTAATGCAGCCGGTAAGTCGCTCTCCTTATAAATGCTTTCATGGTGTATCTGAGATTTTAGTTCTTATATCAAGTACCGTCCAACACCAATATACATTTGAGTTCAATGAGTACCTTAGCTTGTGGCCCTCAGTAGAAATTGTCATTAAGTGACAAAAGCTAATTTAGTGGGATATAGAACTGTTATCAAAGGGAAGAGGTGAGGGGCTGGAGGCTCCCGGTTATGAATTTCTGCTTGTCTAAGGTGGAATGGTTGATAACATTGCTCTATCCTGTGACTCTGCGGGCTCGGAGGAAAAACTGGTACAAGAGTCAAAAAACTCTAAAGCTATCAAGCTCTGGGAAAGATTCGCACATTTTCACTAGCTAAATCATAAGTTTTGTATTTTGTTGAATTTCAAAAAGAAAATTATCCCACAATGATAGGAAGGTAAGGGGAGAAGGGAGGTTAGTAATGGCACTCCTCATCGCTATGCCTCTGGGGGGGGAGGTTAGTCATAGCGCCCGTCATCGCTATGCCTCTGGGGGGGTTAGTCATAGCGCCCCTCATCGCTCTATGCCTCTGGGGGGGTTAGTCATAGCGCCCCTCATCGCTTTGCCTCTTGAGGGGGGTTAGTCATAGCGCCCGTCATCGCTATGCCTCTGGCTGAAGCTAAAGCGACATTGAAGAAACGCCCAAAGAAAACCACGCAACCTTACTATGCAAAACTGTTTTGTTTTGTTGTTCTTATTGGTTTGTTTTTCTTTATGTTTTCGTTCCTTTTCTATAGTAACCCAAGAAGTGGGCCTACTTATTTTGGGCTACCGAGGAACTGTTCCTCTGTTATTTTGACTACCGCATTCGCTCTAGAATTAACTAAGCCAACCTGTTACAAATTGAATTGTGCTGCTGGTTTTAATGTGATAATTCCATTTCAGGCAAGTGGATTAAGAAGACTTTCCAGAAAATTGGGAAAGCTTTAGCTCCAGTAAGTTTCTTCAGTAGCGAGTAGTCATGTAAGCTTGATGCTCGATTTTCTTTTCACTGTCATCTTCATCATCATCAACGTTATTACGGATGTTGAATATTACGCTGTGTTTCAGGTTGGAAAGGCCATCAAGAAGTTCTTTAAGGGCTGGAAAAGGAGAAGAGAAATACAAGATATGCAAAATGAAAATTTTGCCCTTCACATACGCAAACGTCGTTTTATTAGCAAAATTATATGCGAAGGTCTTGTAGGGGGAGGATGTAAAGGTTAGTTGAAATATTGTAAGGTTCCTTTTTAACCCTTCACTGACTCTTGTCCTTAAAAGGGATAAATATATTAATATCATAGGTGACAAATTACTCCTTAATTTTGGCGCAAAATTGCCATGGTAACATCTCTTGTATCTCGATCAGAGCCAAGATGGCGTCGAGATTTAAGACCGTGACCCCTGAAGAAGTTACGAAATTAAAAGAAACGGCCGAAATTTATTAACAGGCACGAAGAATTTGAAAGGTATTTTTTGTGAAGAAACTCAGAAAAGTACGAACTTTAACAATAATGTATGCTTTAAACGAAAACCATATTCTTCTTCATGTTCTCGGTTTTCGATAGAATGAACCAGTAAAAACAATTACTGTTGTGAACGTAATTTGTCACCCACGATATTAAAAGGTAATCAAATGGTTTTCTCGTGAAATTAGGAAATCATTTCACTTGTGTTTTGTCAAAATTATTTCCTAATTTCACTCGTCGCCATTTGATTACACATACAAATTCTCACTACCATTTTATATGTAATCTTGCAAACAAGGTAGGAGAAGAGATGAACTGATCAGTTTAAGGACTTCATCTGGTTGCAACACCAAATTCTCTTGTCTCGTTTTCAAGGAAATTCATAGCAATCAAAGGGGGGCATCTACTTATTGGAATTTGAAAGTAAAAGGGCTGAGAGTGCGGTGGTAACCAGAAGTAAAACTATCTGTTGCTGACGCTTACAATGTTGTCCAACTCTTTCACACCTAGGAGTGAAAATAAATCAATTTCTCTTCACAATTTTATTATATCATTTTTTTTTAGCAGATAACTGATGCAAAATGGAAAATTAAGATTTATGCTCAAAACTGGTTAACAAGACACATACTTTTGTTGTTATTATCAAGTTTTTTTCTGGATTAACGTACTGATCGACAGGATACTGAAAACTGCAATTGAAAACGTAACCATGTTGGAAACTGTTCAGCTTTTTTGAGTATATTGACGCTAGGCGTCTCTTGATAACATCACCAGCTGGTTACACCCACATTTCACGAAATCTGTCTCGATGAAATCAAATGAGAGAGAAAAAATGTTCAGTTACATGTGTACAGTAGTAACGGCTTAACAGAATACTCGTAAGAACCCCTTGGGTTCACTCAGAATAAGTTGTCAAGTTCCCACACTATAGTTATGTAAACTCATCACTTCTCAACATCATCTTTTTCCTAAGCGGTTTCTCACCTCTGCTATGGCTCTTGTAAGGCCGTCGAATTTATCGGAAAGGGTCTCTGCAACGTCCTCGACATCGCCGTTGGCTTCTTGAAGTTAACTGAGATGGCCTGTAACTGGGTCAGCAAAGCGATCAACTTTGTCCTGACTCAGCTGTTTAGAGTGCACAGGTAAATGAAATGTTTGTCAGTCTGTCAGTCTGTCAGTCTTTCGGTCTGTCAGTCAGTCTGTCAGTCAGTCAGTCTGTCAGTCAGTCTGTCAGTCAGTCAGTCTGTCAGTCTATCAGTCTGTCAGTCTGTCAGTCTGTCGGTCTGTCAGTCTGTCAGTCAGTCAATCAGTCGATCAATCTGTCCATCTGTCAGTCTGTTGGTCTGTTAGTCAGTCAGTCAGTCTGTCAGTCTGTCAGTCTATCATTCTATCAGTCTGTCAGTCTGTCAGTCAGTCAGTCTGTCAGTCTGTCAGTCAGTCAGTCAGTCAGTCTGTCAGTCTGTCAGTCAGTCAGTCAGTCTGTCAGTTAGTCAGTCAGTCTGTCAGTCAGTCAGTCTGTCAGTCAGTCTGTCGGTCTGTCAGTCTGTCGGTCTGTCATTCTGTCAGTCAGTCAGTCAGTTAGTTTGTCAGTCTGTCTGTCTGTCAGTCAGTCTGTCAGTCTGTCAGTCTGTCGGTCTGTCAGTCGGTAGGCTGGTCGGTCGGTCGGTCGGTCTTCCTGTCTGTAAGTTAGTCTGTGTGTCAGTCACTCACTCTCACTCTATCAATCAATTTGTCTGTCTGTCTGTATGCTGTCTGTGAGTTTTTTTGTACTTTTATGTTCTGAGTTCTACATTTTATATGGCACGTTGCACATTTTCCTTTTTTTTCTTTAATATTTCGCTCAAATACAAAAAGATTTGTCTACTTTTAAAATTTTCTTTGCATTTATACCACATTATCACTACCTGTACTTTTGACTTATATGTAACCCTTATTTCCCTCCGGCCATTTTCAATGCAGCATCTTATTCGAGTTTGGACTTGCAGCCTACGCAGGCGGTGGACACAGCAATTTTATATTCAACGCAGCAGTTGATCTGACCATATTTGGAAAACGCCTTTATCTCGCAATCGGTTTCAACCTGAATAATCCTGTGGGAAGTCTAAGGGGTGGGGCCGATAAAGCCACTGATTGGTACAAAGACAAGATGAATCCCAAGAACCCCACGGATACGGAGAAAAATTACTATGACAATCCTAATCCATTTGCCGACTTTGAGATGTCAGGTAATGAGGGTAAAAAAATAATGAAAAATCTAACTCTTATTAGGAATAATCGATTCCCTTTTTTTCTTTTTATCTGTATATTCCCAAAAACCTTAAAAAAAGCATACCACGGATAATAGATGTGTTAGTTGTACTATGTGATGCTTGATTGAAAAAAACATTTTTATCGGCATTACCATGATAAAGCCAATCTGAATTTCTCGCAAAAAAATTTTCATGTTCGTTTTTTGTCTTTTACTGGGTGCCGTAAAGAATAATTTCTTTCAAGCTTGGAACTTTGGAATAAAAGAGCAATCATTTTCTACGCAGCATTATATGGGTCTCAGATGATAAAAACAAATATCATCGCAAGCTGGAAACATAAAATTCTTTTTTTGGTGATTTTCTTTTCTTTTTTTTTTTTTTTTTTTTTTGTACTGTAGAAATATTCATGATAGAGAATCAGCAATCGGCCACAGATGACAGACTAGGCCCCTGTCTCTTTGTGGATTCCAAGAGTGATGGCTCTTCTATCAAAGTAACGGGTTGCAATGCAACTGATGAAAAGCAGAACTGGGCTTACACCCTCAAGGGGCAAATAATGGTAAGTCTATAGGCTAATAATTTGAGTGTTACACACATACTTAAATATAATCATTCGCTTCCCCATCATAAATGTCCCTGTAGATGCAAAGCCACGGAAGAAAGCCAAGAAAAATGAACATATCTTTTATGGTTCATTGCGCTACCAAGCGACAGTTGTCAGTGATAGATGCCTTGGTGGAATGGCGTTGTCCACAAAAAATCTGATTCATTACTGTTTAATTTATTAACAGAACTCATATTCAAAGCTATGCATTGACACAGATGGAGCAACTAAGGGATCAAAGCTGAAACAAAAAAAATGTGATCCGAGAAAAGACGATCAGAACTTCCACTGTGACTTGACTGTCAGATCCATCAAGAGAAGAAGAGCAAATCAGTGCTGGACCGTGGGTCAGTTGTCTATGTAAAATATAACCACAAAACTTTTGGATCGCTTTGGTTTCAAGAACATCCCTATGACTTTTCTTCGATACGTTGGGTCTGAAAGAGCCAAAAGTAAAAATAAATTATACACGACCTGCCGCTTTCTCTATCTCTTTTAATCATGGTACTGTCTGGTAGGTTTCGTTTCCTTTGTCTTCAACCGCAATTCCTTTCTACTAGTTACACTGCAAAGCCCTAAGAAGGCATGTTTTACTGATAAGGTTCTCATGCATAAAATGTTTTCGGGTGAGGCCCTGGCTAAGTATTTTATTTCCTCCAGGTTCGACAAGTTTGGATGGTCCAGGTTCATTAGTTCACCTCGGCTCCTTATGGTGCATTCACCCGCAAGGCGGTGGAATTAACGTCGGAGAGGGAACTAAGCTGCTTATTCATAGTGGGTGCAGCGAAAGCAGGTAGGATTTACATGCATGTGACAACAAGTTTCTAATTCAAAAATCCTCTAACTAGCATCACCTTTTTCCTTAATATTATAATATGAGAAGAAATTAAATTAAAGAATTACAAGAATTAAAAACAAACCTTGTCACAATACTAATGATGATGATGATGATCACAAATGATTATAAGGTTATAATATCAGGGATAATAGATTGATGCTCGCTTTAACAAGGATGTAATAAAGAAGGAGCCCTTCTGGTTCAGTTTTGAGCAGGAGCTTTATGAGAAAAGGAAACACTCACAAATCTGTTCGCAAATATAAGTTACCTTATCATAGGAAGAAAATTTACGTTGCACGAAACTAACGCCAATTTTCTATAAGTTAGGTTTACATACATCAAATGAGCGCGAAATTTAAGAAAAGAGTGTATACGCCTAACTTTATTTTACGCGAATTTTATTTAAAACAAGCGTCTATGAATATATATCTAAAAGAAAAAAAAAACAGCAGCATTTCCAGTCATTGCTAGCTAATTGTAGTCGTGTTATTGCTCTGTAAATGGATCTGGAGAGGGAACACTCCCTTGGACCCTGGCATTTTCTAATGTTTCAGTTGTTCCCGCAGCTTTCCAGCTGTTAAGTATAATTTCCTTTCTCTTCTCCTTTCTTAGGGAGTCGTACCGGTGCATGGACAGGTTTGAGCCCGTCCATGTACCTTTATTGAAGTAAATAATGTATTATAAAACAAACAATTGTGAATCAAATCAACATCGATGTAAATTAAGATGCATTTAATTTAAAATCGGCGTTAATAAAGTGCATCGTCAATTTCCTCTAATAAGGTAATTAATTCAACGTGACATTCTTTTCAATCAGACTAGAGTTTGTTCTACAAAACGGTAATCTGAAACACACCAAAAGTGGCAAGTGTGTACAGCCAATGGGAGCAGTCAAAGATGGTGTTGTTCTTGGTTTATATTCGTCATGTGGGGGACATCAGTTTAGCTTCACTGCTGGAGGATCCTTACAACATATTGGAAGCAAAAAGTGTGTCAATCCAAAATCAGGAGTGAGTATAATGCATTTTTTTTAGTTTGAAGCTTACGTAAGTGATTTTAGTTAAAATGGTCGTCCTCCTCGTTTTTGCCGTCGTCATCAATACCACAAGTCTTAGCGAGGAGCCAAACCAACTCATAAAAGTTTTGTTTTTTAAACACATGGCTTAAAATGAATAATTTTTTTTTTTAACATTCGTCTGATGAACCAGTTCAGTACCGAGTGGTGGTGGTGCTCCACTTTCTTTTATTTTTCTCTAAAACGAATGCCAGGGTTTTCTGGATAAATTTCCAAAAAGAAAGCCAATAAAAAGGTTTATGAATGTAAGTTCTTACTGCAATCGCAGGCGGGCATTTCATTGAACAGTTCTCTCCAACTCGCAATAATTATTAATGCAACTTTAAAAAAGGCTTGCGACTATAGAAGACTATAGTTACTACTACAGTTTAGGCCGTAACTTTTATACTACTATAGTTTAGGCCGTAATTACCAGCCCACCAATCAAACAACGAGTATTCTAGCGACAGCGAAACACATACTTGTTACGTGAGTTTTTAACCTTCGCGACGCTCCACTATGCACCAAGCGAAATCGGAGGACGACGAAGTTACAATAACGACTGTTTGTTGCCTCTACTTCCATTCCCTAAGTTACTCTGTATCAGTTTATTAACCTCCAGTTTAAATCAAATGTTTACAGGCAATGCGACCAAAATCGAGCGAAGACTTAGTGCTTAATAGCAAATGTGAAAACAGCGACAGCTCGTTTACCAAGGAACACCTTCTGTTCAGTTTTATTCCAAGTAGGTACCCCTTGTTTGCAGTCAGTGGATCTATACCATTTCTTTGGTAACTAAAATTTGCCACGAGCCCCTTTTTTAGTTTTTTTAGCGTCAATGTAGAAGACGAAGCAAATGATAAAGGAAGGGCTAACGCTTGAAAAGTCAGCTTTGAAATTCTACAGGGTGGCCAATTTCCATTATCAACCCAGTCGATAAAACCAAAATTACCTACCACAATTTCTTTAGAAACTTACCCCCTTTATTAAAAATGATAAAGCATGAGAAACTTTCTTATCAAAAGGGATAACACCAAGGTAGTCCATCATTCTCTAACGGGAGAACAGGCAGAATCTTGAAATGGGACCTTGTTGTCATTTAACACCACAAATTTAGCCTACAATTTGGTTTTGTCATTCACTGAAGTTCTTTTATCCTCATAACAACTATCTTTCTCTTTAACAGCGGATCCATTCGTTCGCCTCGACAAGTGCCCCTATTTTGATCAAGCGAGACTGGATCAGCGATTTGAGGTCGTGGACGAACCAATTGTCAGTGTGTGTAGCAAGTTTGCTAAAAGTGAGTAATAGAATACTTTACAACATTGCCCAAACACAGAAAGCAATTCTTAACTGCAAAGTAACAAAGTTTTTTATCAAAAATTGTACATGGTCATACAAAAAAATTGTCATGATCACTTGTTACTGCGAGATGTTGCTGTGCCTATTACTTACTGTGTCCAGATCCATAAGGAAAGTAAAGCACATTACATTGAAAGTATATTTAGCATTGAATATATGGTTGAACCCCATAACTCGAAACCTCGTAACTCGAACTCCCCGCTACCTCGAAGCAAAACTGATTTCACCAGGATTTGCCTCTTATATTTACCATAATTTTAATCCCTATAACTCGAACCCCGATAAATCTAAGTAAATTCAATTCCCCTTGACGATTCGAGATACTGGGGTTCAACAGTACTTCGAGTTATCGGGGTTTCGAGTTATAGGGGTTAAAATTACCGTAAATACATGAGGAAAATCCAATGGAAATCAGTTTTGCTTCGAGTTAGCGGGGAATTCGAGTTACCGAGGGCTCGAGGTATCAGGGTTCAACTGTAATGTCAAAAACTAGAGAATGAGGTATCATAGGGTCCATATAATGACAATGCGAGCTTCTATATGATTTACACCTCCAGACTGGCAACAAGAGTGTGTTCAAAAGAAATCGGTCGCAAATATATTTACCACTTCAACTTTGTTGATATATCCAAATTGTTTCGTTACTCCCACCGACGCAGCCCCAAACAGTTTCTTTCGAAACTATCAGCCCTTCATTCATTTGTAAATATATAAACATTCTTAGAGAGGGGTAAGAGGAATTCCTTATTTTCTCCTTTGCATTTAGATCTTGCTTTCAAAAAGGGAACAGAACAATCAAGCACTGCCTACAATGGATTCAGTAGCCGAGCAGTAGATGAAAATTATTCTAGTAAATATGATGACAAGTCATGTACCCACACCAAGAAAGAACAGAATCCATGGTGGAGAGTTGATCTTGGACGAGAGTACATCGTGACAGGTAATTAAGAGACATGTTAATAAAAAGTTTACAAATGAAAAATGCAAAGTAGTTATGGCCCCATTACTTGACGAGACTTGGTCAGTGGTTAGCATTAGCATATATGATCATTAAATTTTTCAACAGCATTTTCTTTAACAATACACTCCTGTGGGTAGGGGCAGATAGAAAATGTTCCGTTCGTCCTAACATCTGGAAAAGCGTAGAAACCTATCCTTGCATTTAAATATTTTTCTTATACGACCCGAAATATATATATATATATATATATATATTCTGAGTCGATCATAAGAATATTAAATACATCGCTATTGTCGTCGGCAGAACATGGTGGCTTTACTCCGAAAGGACCACGGAGCATTTGAGAGCTTGTGAATTATGATCAAGCTAACTTAAATTTTCATCGATTGAACGATGTGTTATTTTTCTCTATCCTTAGGCGTCCTTATGCCGTCTTTTTTTAAATTTGCCTCTTAAGTGTTCTCTATTTCGCCAAACTAATACTTTCCGGTCTCCTCTTGATTGAGAAACTTTTACGCAGCGCAAAAATGGCTCAAAATATTTTTATCCTAATTGGCGATCTAGCACGGTTCTTTTCGTCGGTTATCTGCGATTTTTCGTTAGCGATATAAACTGTTAGCCTCGAAAATACAAATTGTAATAAATATTTCACAGTCACATTTGTTTGTCTTTTTTAACCAGACGTAATGATAGTAAATCGGTATAACCACTTCGAGCGTCTTAAGAACTTTGACGTCAGAGTTGGAGTCAATAAAGATAACTTACAGAATCCAACATGTCACGACCGCGTGAGGACTGTGGGCCAGGGTCAAGCTCTCAGGGTGCAGTGTGATCCACCAATCCCGGGACGATACGTGTCAGTGCAGATGTTTGGAGAAGGAATTCTAACCATGTGCGAGGTTACTGTATACTCCAGAGTGGGTATGTGCTTATAATTTAGTTTATTATCCTTAGTCATGATAATGAGCTCATTTTGCTGTCTCTACTCCGGCAAAAAACTTGATGGTTAATGGACTTTCATTGAAAATATTTTCGCCAGAAACATCAGTAAAATGAACTTCTGAACAACGCTTGTCAAAGGAACTTTGCCGAAGAGGATTTCTGTCAACATTGGCTTATGGGCGGTTGTGTCATATTTTGCCTTGATCATAACTTTGCTCTCAGTTAATTAGCAGTCAATAGAGGAGCGCTTATTAATGAAGATGACTTTCTGTACTCTTTGTGAAACAAAGCTTAGTAAGGTGGCGAATGCAAGCTAACACCTTACCAAATGTTGATGTCTAGCTTATAAGAAAAAGAACACTTTTAAATGTACTCTTGTCACCATTATTGAGTGACAGTGATGCTTGGAATTATGATTTCATCTCAAGGATGTTGGCCTTCTTCCAATTGACATCATTTTCCATCAATAAGCTCAAGTTGACAGAATTTACAAAACGGCGGGATCAATTCACAAGTCGCTGTTTGGACAATCCTATTACTATAAATGATCATAGATCAGTGGCATAAGACTAAGCGAGGGGGACTTTTACCTTGATCTATCTTAGACCTCAAAGGAAAAAGTCAACCAAATTGATTGCCAAGCTAATTTCAGTTTGACCTTGATCAAATTTTTGTGCTTTTTAGGTGCCCTCGCGGATCTTTGTCAACTGGATAATGGCGGCTGCTCGCAGGTTTGTTATAACCTGTGCAACCTGAAAGTCAAGTGCAGCTGCTGGCCTGGCTACACTTTAGCTTATGATGGAACAACTTGCATGGGTAAGGAGTAAAATTTTAGAAATCATTTTCTTTCTATAGATAACTTCGATCGAGATTTCGACTTTCAACTCTTATACATGCAACTTCGCCATGGTGGCCCTGGGAAAATTTGGTTTATTTCCGTTACTTATCCTTTCTTGTAATGTACTTAGATAAAAATGAATGCCAGGCTAACAACGGCGGTTGCGATGTCATCAATGGCGTTTGCGTCAACACTCCAGGAAGCTATCATTGTGCCTGTAAGATTGGTTTCCAGCTTAAAGAGAACAGTGAACTCATCTGCGAAGGTAAGAAACAATCAACACGTAACAAATTTTACGAAAATTGACTCACATTTCGGGTGGTCTTGACAACGATACTGGGTTTTAAGTCACTTAGCGCAGACTAAAATATTCAAGCGAGGGAAATTTAATGGGCACTACTACATTGTCCAATAAAAGATAGAATCCTGATTCTCCGATATGTGTCATACTCATTTGCATATCCAGTGGACTTGGTCTAATAAACTCTTACGTAAATCTTCCGCTCAAGCCGAGATTGGGGGAGTGAACTCTTCAATATTAAGAAGATACTGGACAGAAGAGGCTTTTTGAGGTTCCAAGACAAAGTATCATGTTATCTACACATATTAATTAAAAGCGTGGCAAGTAACACCGGAATAAGCTGTAAAAGAGAATTATATTATATCTTGCAAACTCAATTTTATGATAACAAGTTATTTGTTTTATTCAGACTTCAACGAATGCAACCTGAACAACGCGGGATGTGAACACATTTGTGCCAACAGTGAAGGCAGCTTTAACTGTGAATGTAGAAAAGGATTTAAGTTGAAAAATGATAAATACGGATGCGAAGGTGCGTATGATGATCATTCCTTATGTATTGTATTGTAATCTTTATTTAGACACGATCAATTCATCAGCCTATAAAAATACACATCATATACGCTAAGATATTTAAAATTAAAACTACATCCTATAACACTAAAGCTGTTTTCCGTGAATGCCGTGCGTTAGACTTAAAGGATGTCATTGATCTTACGTTTAAATGACCCCAGAGACTCTGTGTTCCTTATATCGCGGGGCAAACTGTTCCATAATGTGGCACCATTGTAGCTAAAGCTTTTTCTGTAATAATTAGTGCGCGGTAGTGGAACATTAAGCTTATTTTCAGAGTCCCTGAGGTCATAAGCAGAGTCACGCCACGTAAACTTTGAATATAGATACCTTGGAGCTAGCCCGTGCAGACATCTAAACATCATGGTGGCTTTATGGATTTCCTGCTGGCGTGCAAGATTTTTCCACCCTAAAAACTCGAGTAGCTCAGTTGCATCAGCATCATAGTTAGAGAATGTCAACACACGGGCTGCTCTATTCTGCAATTTCTGCAGTTTGTCTCGTAGCGTTTTCCCACAGCTACCCCAAACAATGTCACAGTAATCAAAGTGAGGTTTTACTAAAGCTTGGTAGATGAGATGTAAGGTTGATGCTGGGATCAGGTGCCTAATTCGCTTTAGGGCCCCGATACCAGAGGCGATCTTTTTCGTTAGTTTTTCGATGTGACTATGCCAATCGAGTTTATCGTCTATTATTACACCAAGCGATTTTGTAGCTGTAACCTGGCTCACTTGAGTATTGTTCATTCTAATTGTTGGTGAAGCTGTGAGAGTATTCAGTCTCTGCCTCGACCCTATATGTTAAGAGCTGACGCGTTTAGGGCCGGACGGGTTGACGTAACCAGCCGCCGGTCCGGAAAAAGACTTTCCAGCTTTAATGCGCGTGTGCGGCGACACTTTTCGTTGTTGTTGCAGAAAAAAAGTGAAAGCAGTGAAAAAAAAGAGAAAAAATAAGTTGCGTTTTTCGATGAATTGCAAGTTTCTTGTTCTGACTCAATAAGATTAAAGGAAACATTTTTCTTCAGTAGAATATTTTTGTGTGGTTTTCCCGCGCCCGCCAGTCTACCGCGTTATTCTATCGCGTCAGTTAAAATTAGCTTTAAGGAATTGTTGAAACTTAATCAGACGTCATATGATTAAATTCTCATGGACTGAGCTAGGTCTTAGTTTTGTTTTATTTGTTTTGTTTTAGTTTTAACAACTTTACCGGGTGTGAGTGACTAGACCCGGAAGGGTTAGTGCGAACGGAACGCAAGGTCCAAGCGAGGCACCACCGCTCCCCCCAATTCACCCTGGATAGACACTGCAAAAAGATAGACCACAACACCGGGCACTACGTGCCCTACTCTTTTCGAGGAGTGTGTGGGTTATTTAACCTCCCACAAATTTAAATCGCATATAAGGGCTTGTGAGACGGGACCTCCATTTATCGTCCCTATCCGAGAAGATTAGAGAGTCTAACCGTTTGCAGAAATTATTACAAAGGCTGCACTTTCTACTCAGTTATTTAAAGACCCTGAGTAAATCCGGCCGGATTTGAACTCTCGACCTCCCGCACAACAGTCCAGCGCTGTACCAATTGAGCTAATCGGGAGGCGGTCGAGCCGGAGGTCAGGCCGGACGGGAAATTTTTTGACACTCGTTCATGACGCACAGACCTCGTTACACCCGATCCTTACGACATGACCTCGAGCCGAATATTTCCCATCCGGTTCTTTCACTCAGACAATAAGTATATTAATATAACGAGTTTATCTCTTAGTAAATACGCGCACTGCCGTCGGCCTTTGAATCCGAAGGCGCGAAAGTGCGAGCCATAAATCGTAACGGAAAACTAAAGAGTTGTCCACCAATTTACAGAACGGACCTTAAGTCCGGTCACTCCCCGGAAGTACTACTTCCGGGGAGTGACCGGAAGTAGTACTTCCGGTCACTTCAAGAGGTATTTGCACACATTAGAAGCGGCATTATAGTAAATATACATGTTATTATTTTCAAATAGCAGAGTTGTTTTGTTTTCTTTGTGTATATAGAAGTTAATGAATGTGATTTGCAAAAAGGTGGCTGCGAGGGTCAATGCAGTAATTATGAAGGAGGATATTACTGCACTTGCCCAGCTGGTTATCGACTGATGGACGATGACAAAGGATGTGAAGGTGCACTTTTATTTATGATGCAATCCGTAGTGCCAGTGACTCATTAGGGAGAGTAATCCATTGAGACACTAGATTTTACTAAAGGTTTAGACTCGCACTTCGACCTGGCTATGAATACTAAAAATCTATGAATACTTTTTTCTCTTTTAATTTTTTCAGCGTCAGTTTCAATGATATCAAGGGAAGTAAAAATATCCATATGTGTTCTAAAGCCAATACCTCCCATGATATTGACCAAACCGTCTCACGGAAACGAACGTAAAAAGTAATTCGGCCGCCTCCATCTCTACCACCATTTCATTCGTTGATTTGACTCATTGTGTCCTGATTCATAACTAGCAGATCGGCTAGACTGAGGAACACTGAATAGAAAATCTTCACTTGTCCCATTGTAAAATCTACGCCATCTCGATCAAATCTTCAAAGAAAAATATATTTTAGATCTTCTTAACCCACTAATTTTTCTTGCAGAAATTTACTGCCCCGCGCTTGAAGCTCCATTCCGAGGCAAAATCTCCCCCACAACCTGTACAGACGATCGCTCAAATATCAGGCGCAACACTGTGTGCTCATATGGCTGTGTGGCTGGCCACAACCTCGCAGGCGGGAGCCAATCCTTGGTTTGCCAACTTGATGGAATGTGGCAAGGAACTGTTCCTTACTGTAAAGGTAGAAGGCTAATTGGATTGACATGAAATATTTTTTGTCTTTTGCCGACTGTTTTTTGTAGTCATTGCATTTGTGGACCCTAAGCTCTGAACGAGGAAGCAATCATGACTAAAGATAGCTTTAATTGCGTTTGAAAATTCTCACTAAAAAACCCACATACACTTAAACATCTAATGATATACTTACAATTCATAGCGGTCGTGTGTCCGAAGTTGACTGTACCAGACAATGGCGGAGTGATTCCAGCTTCATGTTCCAGAACAGAAGTTGAGTACGGAACACGTTGTGTATTTTATTGTGATGACGGTTATGAACTGAATGGGCCCAGGTATTCGACGTGTCAGGCTGATACTTCATGGAATGAAATTGCACCGTTGTCATGCGTGAGAGGTATGTTGATGCAGAAATGAAGGACACTATTAGGATCGAAACGAAGAAACGAAATCTGAAATGAAACTGCAGTATAATTCACTAGAAAGCACAGAACCGTAATTTAGTAACATTTCGTTTAAGTCCGAAGAACCCAATAAGATTTTTAAAAAAAACCAACATGATTATACTCCTGGCTCCGGTTGTTCGAAGGATGGATAATGCTATTCACTGGATAAAATCTCTATCCAGTGGATAGCGCAGTACGTTTTGTTAACGCTTATCCGCTGGATAGCGATTTATCCGTTGGATAGAGTTATCCGCTCTTTGAACAGCTGGGCCCTGGTAGTCTTAGGCGCACTCGCTCTTTCAGTTACGTAGATTTTCGCCTGCCGCATACAAAATTACAACAGTATTTGTCAAATATACATGATAAACCAATTATTATCACTTTGTTACGAGATGCATGACTTCTTCCGAGAAACATGACGATTTTTTTCTTATACAAACAGAACATTTCCTCTAACTGTATGTTCTGTTCTATACTATTGATTGTTTGTGTGGGAAAGAAAATATAAGATGACGAGTTCCGTTTGCAAAGTTAGGACTTTTAATTTTTTTTTTTTCTCGCGTTCTCCTTTTAACAGTTTACAAAGACCCATGGATTGCCTGTCCAATCGACAGAGTGGAAGATCTTGAGCCAGACAAGTCCACAGTAGTGCTTGGGTTCAAGTGGCAGCTTCCTCGAACCAACATGAAGAACGTGAAAGTGTCGCCTAGCAACTATGATGAGAACTATCCATTCCCTGTTGGCAGACATCGTGTCACGTGGATAGGAACCAGTGAAAGTGGAACACAGAAGAGTTGGAGCTTCCACGTGACAGTGAATGGTTAGTTTTAATCTCTCTTAATAGTGAAATATTTTATTTATCTGAAAGGCACCCTCCAATGATGGTTGGCAAGAGAATTTAGGAGAGATAAACTTATAATCTCTTTCGATTCGATTGCGATTATAGTCTTTTGACTATTCACTTACAAACTAAAATTGCAAAACTAATTTGCTTGTCTTGACTGAGGCTGGGTGCCAGATATTTGTATGGCAATTAATACGTAAGGTATCTACTCTTATCTGCCTGGTCAGAAGCCAAACAATTCCAAATGCAACCCCAACAGCTATTCAATTTGAAAGTCAAATTTATTCGCTTCCAGAAAAAAATATTTAGTCTGATGATCGCTTACTGCGTAAAACTCGGTTCACAACTCTCCGCCTTAAAGCTTATCGCTTTTATTGCGATTTATTTGTTATTTTGAAGTAAGAAGAGACTACGTAAATATTTTTTCAGACGTAACGCCACCCTCAGTCCAAAATTGCCCGGCGTCCTTCTCCGATCGTACCAACTCTCTACAAAAGCATGTCACTTGGACACCGCCAACCTTTAGCGACAATGTAAAAGTGGTTAGTGTGTTATCCAATCGTCAGCCTGGATTCGAGATGAAAACTTTCACTTCTATAACCATACGATATACGGCTTCAGACGCCGCAGGAAACGTTGCCTATTGCACGTTTAACATAACTCTGGAAGGTACGTGGTAATGGCAAGCTTTTATGCATCCAGACTTTCAGATTCTGATAGCCACAAGTGGTTGTTTTCCACTTTCCTTACGACAGTAGTTTTGGAGAAAAAAACCATGTCACGACTGAGTTTCCTTATGTACAATTTCTATTACAACCAGTTCTAATCTATTTTCAAATCTGAGTTAGTTTCTAATCATTCTTGAAAAAGGTCAAAATCGTGTCAACATGTGATCATGGCTTTTCAGGCTCAACATGTGTGACAATTGCTCACCCAAAGAACGGCATGGCTGCGAAGCTTGGCTTTTTCCTGCAGTTGCGGTGTAATCCTGGTTACTACTTCAATCCACTTCCACCCGGACTGCCTCCTGGACAAATGATTGTCCCTTTTTATCGGTGCATGGGTAACAAGTGGATATCGCAGAATGACCGAAAGTCTATATTGACCGAATCCACAGATTGCGTTCGTAAGTAAAAAATTCTGTGACGAAAGATGTATCATGCACTCGGCAAGAAGCGTCCGGGGTATTTTGAAGGAACATGGGGATTTACTGTATCTTCTTCAAGATACAGATATACATGTTTAGAGCATATACCTCTTGCTAAATAACCGAACTCGAGGTCCGTTCCGTAAGTAACGGACCGAGCTCTTTCCGCTCGGATTTATCAGGCCCAAGCAGGAAATGCGAGGGCCATAAATCCCAGCGGAAAAAAAGGACCATAACTTACAGAACAGACGGAGAAAACGCGATTAACATCTCTGGTATCAAATAGAGGGAGAGAATTCCGAATTAAAAAAAAAGATTGAGTTTAGCGGGCCTTGCAGTGGAGAGGGCTGCTGATACGGCCCGCTAAATTGACCAATCATAGCGAACATGTAAACTGTGAGATGTAATAAACGACAGATCGCAATTATTACGTAGTTTGTTTCTGAAAAGAAAGGAGAATGTTTAACACCAATTTAAAGATCGCATGGGGTGATGAAAACGGATTGGAATCATAATAATCTCCGACCTTCTGGTCGAAGAAGAAGCCCGCAACTATTCTAAAGAGGTGGATGCTAAGCTATATGCTATCAAGAGAAAATTGTTATCTCTTGATACTAATAGTACTCAGTTAGCTCAGGAGTTCTTTGATTAATGGTCCTTTTTACAGTTGAGGGCTTGGTGGCCAAGCCTTTGAAAGGGAGTGAGGCTAAGGGTGACCCTGTTGTGATAGAGACCTCTATCTAGTTAGCATGATAACAAAGAAATTTGCATTAGAAAAGCAGCAACATCTCTATCATAACAAGAAGTTTATGAAGACAAAGGCACTAAAACTAGCTGTTGAGTAAATTGGTGGATACGATGTGTACCTCTTGCCATGTTTATTGAAATAAATGAATTTGGCGCGAACTGGCCAGTTCCATGTGAAATAACTGGAGTTTTATTTTCTCTTTCAGATTATCAAACTTACGTAGAAGGCTCACCATGCCCCGATGGAAGTTTAAAACAGGACTTTGGCGCGACAAGTATATGCTGTAAGTGCCATTACATAGAGCGAGAGCAAAAGTCAGCATATATTATGAGGTCAAAATGAAATAATTTGTTATGCTTTCGCTAAACGAGAGAAAATTAAAGTGCCTACAAACCTCTGCAGTTCCATGTGTGCTGCCATGATGCCAGCATGTCTTTTCGCGATAGGAAGAATTTTCCATAAAAGTCCAAGAGAGGTTCCATCTCTCAGTTATGGTTGTGCTTCAATTAAAATGCCATTGGTTCATTAGTAAGCTTTTCAAACATAGTAACACTAGCTGAAACTGTGCCCAAAAGGATAAAAGCTTCTCTAAGTGTACTGCTTTTCTGAAGTAAAAACCGCTTAACTATATGCTATGTAAACTTCTGAGAGTTTTGCATACCCTCCAAAATATGTTAACAGTAAGGAACACTGCTCTGTGTGCAGTAACCTCTCCGACTTAACAAATTGCATAGCCGTTTGCCAAAGTAGAATTTTCCTTGTACAATTGCACGTGTCAAAAAACAATACTTAACTCCACAGAAATTTAACTGAAGTGGCTCGCAAATAATTTTGTCGTCGACGTCTCTCCAGAGATCAAGAATAAGCACCTAGATTCCAACACCACTCTCCCCGTAGTTCCAAAGAAATTCTTAATTTTCAGTGAGTGTTCCATTTTTTTTCGGCTTGAGTAAACTTGAAACAGATTAGCACTATTAAAGTGTTAGGAATATTGCAATAAAATACGTCTTCTGAATCTCCCCTCAGCGCAAATAAGAATATATCGCGCCGAGCAATCATAGAAGAAGCCTGGGTAGTAGGTGAATTGCAGAATCTTTGAAATAACTTTACGCGATCTTCCGAGTTTAAATGGATTTGATTGTCTGGTGAAGTAGCTACTCATTATTATTCACTTTTGTGTTCTTAGTAAACTGTCCATCGGGAACCTATGCTGACAACAAAACCAAATCATGTAAAGAATGTACCCCTGGCTTCTATCAGGACGAGGATGGAAACATGGGTTGTGTGCCATGCCCGAAAAACACATTCAGTGTTACAAAGAGAGCTAAATCAATTGGAGACTGCAAAGGTCATTATTTTCATCATTATTATATTATTTAATATGATTGAATGAGTAACTAGTATACAGAGCATGCGTGATTTTGGAGAGCGAGTGCTCAGTTTTTTTGTGGTGAAAATTATAGCCGCCATTTTCATTTTCACAGCAGTGGAAGGCTGGGGAGAGAAAGAAATTTGTACCGAGGGGGTGAGCGACAATCAAAAGGAAGGATAACGGAAGGGGTGGTGCAAAAAAATATTATTTCATGAGGAATTACCCAAGCGTGAACAATATTGACCAGAGAAGTTGTGAGACGAACTGGGTGCATACCAAAGCGAACCTCGCTGCAATGAGCGCTACTTTTAAGTAGTGAAAATTACGCCAAACAATTAAGGCCTTCTCGGGATTTTAACCCATGACCTTTGCTACACAGTGCAGCGCTCTACCAAATGAGCTAACAAGGCAACTGGCAGCTGGTCACTATAATGGTTCGTAATACACTCGTGAAGTGATGAATCAATGACTTTGAACATTTGATAATCATATATGTGAACCGCGATTCAAAGAAAGACTACTAGCTAAGGCGTTCTTCGCGATCATGAATCAGTTGATAACTTGTTTACGTCTTACGTTTCAGCTGTCTGTAACCCTGGTTACTATTCTACTAATTATGGCGTTGAGCCATGCGTTGAATGTCCTATGGACACATATCAGGACAATGAACAACGAACTCAATGTCACGCATGCCCAGTTGGAACACATACAGCCAGCACCGGAAGCACATCTCCAGAAGACTGCCTGTGTAAGTATTTCCTCAATTACGCCTGGATCCATTGAAATTGGCCGAAATAGTTCTTAATTAGAGTCAAAACGATTTTATTGGTAGACACTTATTTTGCATTTTTTTACATAAGGATGTAACCAAGAGACGATTCGTCAACATGCATGATGCGATAGGTAGAGAGTGGCGTGTAACTGAGTTCAAAGAAGCATAATCAACCACTGTCGACTAGCCTCAAGCTATTCTACAATCCAGCTTTGTATCTAAATCTTCTTCTAATTTATGAGCTAAGAATATATAATTGCGCTATTCTGAGGAATCTTGTTTGTTTGTTTGTTTGTTTCTCTTGTTCCAGCTCCTGTTCTTATCACGGAAATCATTCCATCACAGGATTATGCAACTTACGAGAATGAATCCATTTCGCTTGTGTGCTACATAGCAGGAGACCCGGCCCCAACAGTGTCGTGGGAAAAAATTGGAGGTAACACTATTTCGTTCTAGGAAAAACTACTCTTGCTTTCCTGGGAAGTTTTTACAAAAGAGTGTCGCATTGAAACCAAACAAAGATCTCATTTAATGTTCACTTAGAAAATTTTCCAGACTCCCTATAAATTTTTTCACTTATTTAAGTTTCTTTCAACAACAACTGGTTTGTGCACGTCGTACTGTTCGCTAAAAAACTAAAGAATTAATAATCTCACAGCTTCTCTCTGCTCCTATATTCTCGCGTTTCATCTATACCTATGCCTAATCCAGTCTGTAGGAATTGCAATATTCTTAGTCTTCATCATCTTTACTTCTTCAACTACAGGCTCTCTTCCTTCCACGGACCGCCTGGCAATAACCAATATATATGACCTGGATGGAAAGTTGGCTGGCGTAGAATATGCCATATCCACTGCTGTTGTAGCTGATTCTGGTACTTACAAGTGCACGGCTACAAATAAGCATGATTCGGTCTCTAGGCAGGTCAGAATTAGCGTCCAGGCGGGCTCACCACCCGGTGTCGTACCCCAATAGGTAAGAAATATTTTTTATGTACTTTTCCCAACATGTCTTCTTAGGACCTATCGTTATTGGAATTATTTCGTATTGTGGAGTCTATACAGGAGCTTGTAACGGAAATGTACCCACAGCACCAAGGATAAATATCAGCAACTATGCACCCGCCCCTCTCCTAACCCAACAATAGTCAACTGATAACAATTAGATATATGAATTTCATATATTCGTTGAATTTGATAACAATTTAGGGGTTTAAGTTGGATTGGTGGAGGAGTAGGTCCCATACCGCTTACATAGACTTTCTATCTTGGTACAAGTATCATTTCGTAATTCCCAAACACTACAATTTTTTTCCCAAGAAAAAGTGATTTATTTGTTATGCTATATTGCTATCCTTGTTGTTGAAAAGTTCTTAAGAGGAATGTGTATCACTAACAGGCACAACGATTTGTTTATTCTATAACTTGAAAAAGTTGTCCACTGACAATTCCGTGTGATCTATTCTTTTCAATTTCTACGTCTTGGTCAGGGTTTCACTCTCGTAACCCCTACGGCCTGGGCGAAGAAATCGTAATTTAACGTGTTTGCGTCAAGCTTTTCTGGCTATGAAGGGGCGTAGGGTTAACTAGGATTTCAACAGTTTCCATGTACGAGACCACTCAGGTTGATGTTTACAAGCAGGAGTCTGCAGAGAATCGAGCAGCTGTAAGGCCTGCAAGCAGCAGGTTCTTGTCTGTAGCGTTACGGCATGAACCGTGAAGCCTGCCAGATTTAAGCCAGCACCCATATGAACCTGCAGCTGCTCGCAGACTGGCCACTGTGAACGGAGGAAACAATTTTACTTGTAGGTTACACACCTTAGGTAACTTCACCGATACAGTTCTATGTTATGTTGACTGGGGTTTATTTCTGTTTTCTTTCAGACTATAGACAACCTCTGGAGTGTGCTATGAAGCGATCACAGAGCAAATATCTCTGATTAGAATTCATGGATGTACTTAGCAGAGAGTGACAACAACCATAGCATTTACGTTGTAACTGATATAAAATAGTGGCATAAACCCAATAAATATTGGTTGCGCTGAAAAAAGGAGCACAAAGATTCTTCTGTCGCGATATGCTTAAAGCTCAAACTCTGCACGAGAAAAAGAAAAGCTAACGACTGAGTCCTTTGTTATGGGGGAACGATTTTAGCATCGAAAAAGCGATCGCGGAGGCTGTCACCACTCGATTAAAGAAAAAACAAAAACAAAAAAAGAAAAAAAATTAGAAAAAAGGTTTCTAAGGGCAACTTTGACCTCTATGATGTAGGTGTGATGCGTTTCTGCCAAAAATCCAATGCCTAAAATGCAGCATGCTACAACTATGCCTTGATTACTTACACATTTCAGCACTTTTGTCTCCGTCGCGTGTACTAGTAAAACAGACTGAATTAGAGCAAACATCGCACTTACATTTGGGGTTGGGGTAGTTATAAAAGCCTGCTCAGGCAGCTTTGGATAGGGTTTAATAATAATAACTTTATCGCTTTTATCGCGCATTTTAACATTAAGAATTGTGATCAAATGCGCATAACACTCGAATAAGACTAAGACAAAAGTTACAGTACCTGCTCTCTATATACTAAAGCTTAATCGTTTGTCACATTTCCTTCCTATAGGTAATCTAGCATAAGTCGCAACAAGTAAGAAGTAAAAGAGAAGACACAAAACCTTTAAGACAGGTCGCCATAGGCCTCTTTAAAATAGTGCGTCCCAATGAGTCTCTTAAACTTTTCAAAATCATTCTCTTTCCCTATATAGTCCAGCGTTCCATATCTTTGGAGCAGCCGCAGTGAATGATCTGTCCCCAAGAGTGCACTTGAACATTGCGGTAGCTTCGTGCGCTCCACTCAGTGCTTGTTTTATTTTCACGTCCCGAGGAGTGGTGCAGCGCAGATTTCCCATACTTCGGTCTCACCCTCTGGTGCCTCGGCAATGATAAGCTCGTATCGGTTTGTTTTTATGTTTTTGATTTTTGCTTAATTTTTTTGATACGAGTATTGAGTCGTTAAATAGGTCTCAAACCCGGAGGCCAGACAAGTCGGTTGTCGGCTGTAACCACCAGAGGACTGTGTCTTACTTCAAGCGGGGATTGTATTTTCTCTTTTCTCCGGCACCCTTGACATTCAAAGTAAAGATAATACAAAACAACTATAGCCGGGTTGGAGAGAATCTATTTCTTAACTGAACAATGTTGAAAAACTATTGCATTTGCAGAACACAATAATGGCAACTGAAGCTTTCAGAGCTTAACTTAAGAGGGGCCCCACGAACTGTCTATGTTACGTCAGTCCAGAATCAATTATCTCTCAGAAAAATTGCGCATCACTTTATCAGCTGGGAAGACAAAAAAACAGCCTTAAATCTAAAAACTTCGTCATCTGTTCTATCAGCTGGACAGCAGAAGAAATATGGGCGGATCTTTGTGAGAATTCACACCTCATTTTATTCATCTTGGCTACAAAATGTTCTTACGGCAGAACAGTAGGACAAACTTCTCGGTAAACAAACGTGAGGTTCAAACCTCAGACTATGTAATTCGGTATTAAATGCTCTACTAGCTGAGCTGAGAAAAAACCGTGGGTTGACCTTTGTGACAGGTACTGCCATGTGAAATAAAAATTTTTGGTCGACTTTCATGAGGATTCAAACCTCAGATCTACAGACTTCGCTGTCAGATACCCTACCTGCTGAAGTATACGAAACTCCTGCAGTTATTGTTCTTATGTCACACTAAGCAATGCATTTTGTTTGCCTCTTGAGTGTGTGATCAATAGGTTCTACAGATGCAGTTACTGTTTTGCTGGAATCAAACACCTGCACAATTCAAGTTGGTTTTCAAATCAGCGTTCTTGTGAACATCCATCAGAGCTTGACATATGAACAGAGCTGCTTAACTGTTCAGGTAAGAATATAATCAGCTCGGATATTGTGATTTCATGAATTATGATAGTGAATTTATCTATAGACTATACATTTCTCGAGAAAACAAAAAAGAAAAAACAGTGACAAAACATTTTGGTGAAGTTAATCTTAATTGCACTTCACTTCAGTGAACCATTGTTCAGCCTGACATCAGGTGAGTGTGACACAGAAAATAGCTATGCAGATTTGCTTGACTTGCTGTTAGCATATTTTTGCTCACTTTTGAATTCCCAATTGGGAACGTTTAATTTTAAGAGATTTCAATTGCAAGTGGAAGTCTGCTACCACATTTACTGCAAACACTTTTCTATTTCAGCTTGACTATCATGTTTAAGTAAAATACATTTTATATTCAGAAATTAGATCAAAGAAAGCAGATGATACCGTAAAAGGTTAGCTAATGAAAGAAAAGTTCCTTGCGAGGATTCAGATTTCAAGTAGTCAGCTGGAATAAGGCGATCCCAGCTCCTAACTCCCAGTCTTCGGTCTCGCCCTTCTTATCTTTTTTTAAGAGTATTTTCTTTTTTTGCAGGATTTGGCTTAAAAACCTGCCTTATACTTTCGAAATTTCACGAAAAGGAAGCAGTACAAAAGTCTCAGTGTCAATGGATCATGTGTTTGTCAACAAGGAGGCAGTTTCAAAGTTGCGGTGTCCGTGCATCATGCGATTGTCAACAGGGAGGAGTTAAAGAGTTGTGGTTTCTATGCATCATGTGTTTGTCAACGAGGAAGCAGTTTAAAAGTGGCGGTGTCTATGCATCATGTGTTTATCGATAAGGAAGCAGTTTAAAAGTTGCAGTGTCTGTGCATCGTGCGTTGTCATCAAGGAAGCAGCTTAAGAGTTACGGTGTCTATATGCCGCATCACGTGTTTTTCAAAGAGGAAGCGATGTAAAAGCTACGATTTCTTTACAAAAAGTTGTTATCACTATGGAAGTGCTGTAATTGTTGCAGTGTCTAGGAAGCTAAGATCTGATCATCAACGAGGGAGCAGTTTTTAAAGATCTAGTGCCTTATATTAATATGTATCATATGATCATCAAAAAGAAAATGATAAGAAATGAAATATATAAGAAAATAAAGGATAAATAGATCAATCAAAAAATTATAACTAAAGAAATAAAAAAAAGAACAAGTAAAAATAAATAATACATAAACAAAAAACATACAACACTAAACCTCGAAACATCCCTGAAAAACTTCACTTTTGTGCCTACCTTTCTAAAATGGACTCTTGATTATTCCACGAGCGCGCGTTGGATATGAGATGATAGATAGCCAACGAGGAGCGTAGCGCCGAGTTGGCTATAATCATCTCATATCCAACAAACGCGAGTGGAATAATTGTTTTATTAATAAAAACGCCCCCAAGATATTAGACAAATCTTCTCGACTTTATTTTGTAAGAAGAAACAGGATGTTTTAATGTACATATATTAGATTATGGTATATTGGCTCATATACCATGATGGTTAAGCCAATAAAAAGTCTTGAATAGCATTATCCAATGATCCAGTTTTTGATAATATTTTTTTACTTTGGGTTTCAAGATTTAATGATCATTCAATCATTAGATGTTTAATTGTCAATGGTTTTATTACCAGCCAACAAATTTATGTTACGACAGTAATTCCGACTTCTAATTTCGGTATTTGAATCTTAGACATTTAATTTCTGAGAGCCGAATTTTATTTCCGACCGACGACTTTTTATTTTCCGACTTTCGGCTTCGGACTTCTAATGCCCGAATTCAGACTTCCGATTTCGGACATTCATTTTTGGAATTTGGAGTTTTATTTTGGATGATCGACTTTTAATTTTCCGACTTGTGGCTCTGGACTTCTAATTTCTTACTTTGGAGTTCAGATTTGGGACATTCGATTTCGGAATTCGGAGTTTTATTTCCGACCATTCGCATACAATTTTCCTACTTGCGGCTTAGGATTTCTAACTTCAGACTTCGGATTTCAGAGTTTGGAGTTTTATTTCCGACCATTGACGTATAATTTTCTGACCTACGGTATCGGACCTAATTTACGTCTTTCGACTTGTAAGCCTCCTATGACCTAATCCCCGACTGCGAACTTTCGATATCCGACTTTATTTCATCAATTGCTACATGCAGACCTGCGAATTTAATGCTCGATCTTCTTTTTTCCCGATTTCTACTCTTAAGTGACATTTTCAACGTCCATTGACCTCGAAAGTCCGACTTCGTTTTTGACTTAGGAATATAAAATCAAAATGTGTGGGCATTTTAGTTATTTTAAAAAGAGAGGTACTGCAGTAACCGAGATGAGAGAGAAATTACCTTTCAAGTTTACTAAGATTCGACCCCTTAAACTTTGAGAGATATTAGCATCAGAGGCGGATCCAGGAATTTTTTATTGGGGGGGTCCAAACTTTGGTTCAGAAAGGACTGTTTGACTCTTTTGAGGAAAATTACTTCTCCCCTACACCCCCCACACCCCCTTCCACCAGTCGCGGTTGCACGTTATAATTCCTTGGCCGCTTACCGTTTACTTGGATTCATTAATTAAAAAATCAGCTAGTTAAAAAGTGATATAAGATCCTGCGGATCTAATAATTCAGTCTCAAAGTTGTAAGCGTCAGGTCTGATAGAGGAGGTCCGGATGCCCCGGACCCTCCCCCTGGATCCGCCACTGAGCATCTATATAAATTCTCCCTGCAATACCACCCCTCAATCATATTTTAAGGTTAGGAGAATAACGGAAATGATCTAAACTTACTGAGAGCTCTTAATTGTTAAACAGATTCTCCTAGTCAGCGCCATGGGGGATGCGCAAAGAACATTGTGGAGAATATGCCGTCATGGATGTAAGAATGTTAAGGGTTAAAAAATGCAAGGCAGCAGTTTGCAAACAACAGGGAAAAGGAAGGGATTCTTGCGGTTTTTTTTTTGGTAAGAAAAAATTAAAAACTCTATGTTAACGTAACGAATGGTACGTTGCTCGCATCACATCATAGCATTATGATATGCTTGCACCTGCCAGAAACTTAATCAATTGTCCCTCTTGCCAATCATGTCGTGGAATTAGGTTGTCGCAATCCAACATTGACGCACAATAGAATTGTATCTACCCAGTATAATGCTTCAAGTCCTTCGTGAGGACCTTCGTCGCTATAATCTGTCGGGGCTAAAAAGATCGGCTACAACACTACCTTCTGGCGTCATTATATAATGCCTTTTTTTTCTCTAATGCTATGAAGATTGTGCTGTGTCAGCAGCAATAAGCAATCCTAAACTAATAATTTTTTTTTTTAATCTTGTCTCTG